GAGCTTTACTAAAAAGATACTTTCTTCTGATAACATTCCCGAGGAGTCTAAAACAATGTTTTTTTAGGGGCATGATTTGAGGCTCAAAGGTAAGGTGATGCTCGATTTGCACACCAAGATTTTTTGTTGTGCTGACAAATCTGATACACGTCTCATTTGACAGCTCTACTCCTCCTAAAGATATCTGATTCAACACATAGTATAGTGGTCGAAACCCTCACCTGTGCCAGAGACTTCGATGGATTTACACAAGAACCTGCTATCGACTCAGACTAATGATTGTGAGCTTAATAGGAAGATCACCCTTAAGTATGGATATATTGGATTTAGATTAGATTAGATTAGATTAAGAATAATGACATAAACATCATCACTAGTTTTAAACATTCTTTCTGATTTCCTCATTATCAGAACTGTGAACATTTCACAGCCTTCGTCATTAAAAAAACAAACAAATTCTATAACTAACATAATTGTCATAATTTATTTACATATAAAAAAGTTAAAAAAGTTAAAAACCGTTAATTTAAAAATAACTAAATAAAAACAAATTCATGAGATATTTATTCCCTTTCTCTTGGCAACACACGGATTTTTATGTAAATATTGAACTTGTTGCTTCTTCTTTTCGATATAATTTACACCCTCTATTTTAGCTAAAACTATGTTTGACACTTCCCAAAAGTTGCCTGTGTCTACTAAATTATTAGTCTTTTTAAATTCTTCTAGATTAATTTTAAAATCAATAACAGACACCGAATTTCTAACAAAAGATGGCAATTTGTTCCAAAAGCTGATAACACGCTCTGATAAAAAATTATTAGACAAGGTTTTAATATTTCTATCAATATTGTTAGATTTAGTGCTAACAATTTTATCTCCCGATCTACTTAAATTGAAAATATCTTTTCCATACTCAACCAATCCATTTACAATTTTGTAGGCTTCAATCAAATCTCCTCTAACCCGTCTCTCTGCGAGTGTTGTAATCTGTAAGGCATCCAACCTTTCACTGTAAGGAAGTGTTCCAATATCATCAATAAGGCGTGTGAACCTTCTCTGGACATTTTCCAGTTCAATGATAGTAGCCCAATTCCCATGGCAGGCAGGTGGAGACCACAACTGAGCACAATACTCCAAGTGGGGTCTTATTATAGTTTTATAAACATTTCTCATAACGTTAATTTCTCTTATAATGAGATTCCTTGTAACCCATGCAATCATACTGTTTGCTTTACTAATACAACTTTTAATATGTTTCGACCATTTCAAATCTGAAGAAGTTAAAACTCCAAGATCTTTCTCTGCTTCAATACATTCAAGTGTAACACCACTAAATACATATTCTTGAAGGGGATTTTCATTAAATGGAACATGCATTATTTTGCATTTGCTAGGATTAAACTTTAACAGCCACACATTTTGCCAGTTTTGCAAGCTTTCTAACATATTGAAAGTGCTTTCAGTGTCATTGGCATCCATAATAACTTTAAAATCATCTGCAAACAGTTTTGATATACCATTAATACAATCAGGCAAGTCATTGATAAAAATGACAAACAATAAAGGACCTAAAACAGACCCTTGTGGGACGCCTGATAAAACATCACGAAGGTAGGAATATGCTCCACCAACGAATGTCTTAAATCTTCTTCCAGATAAAAAGTCTTTCACAATATCTAAAGTGTTACCACTTTGGTTCTACAAAAATGTTAAATTACCAGTTGTGGATGCTTATCAAAAATAAAAGAAAAATGAAAACAGAAACATTATTAAACAGGAAAAAGACCGACTGGTACTTTTCACATAGAAGCACATGATCCACGACAGATTTTGGATTTCGTCAAATTTCGTCCATATTGAATTGTGAGCAATGTGATCTCCATGAAAGTGGAAATTGTTGGGACTGAATAATAATGATAATAATTCTAATACTGTCACACTATTAAAACAACTATGGCTCCTTGTTGTGGGCAGATGTCTTTATTGGAGTGTCCTGTTATAAAACTTCTCTGAGTGATTGCATTAAAATAATTTAAGGAGAGTTCTCTTAAAACTTCATATCATGACAATAGGTATAAATATTAGGACCTAACCACTAACCAATATTTTGTCTCACGTTGTGACCCTCATCGTCATTTTATTATTAGGAACTTACACGATTACAAATACCGTGTTTTAAGTTTGCAAGGCTGTTGGGACTGATTTTACGCTAACCACAAACCAGAGCTTGCAGTAGCTCCTTTACAGTAACGTCACGTAGTACGCAAAGATTCATGGTTATGTGAAAGTATACAGGAAAATTGATTCACGATGTCAATCCTTCGCAGCTCGACGATTTACCGAAGTGGTTGCGAGAAGATGCGCGGCGCAGCCCACAGGTAGACTAAAGTGCAAAGAAACTGCTGCTAACTGCTTGTAACGCGCTGCCTTACTGTGCCGCGCCGCGCACTCAATTATGCTTCTCGCAACGAAGAGTGCTAGAAGCATAATATATCGGCGAAATGCGCTACTGTGCCTCCCCGAGCTGCGATCGCGATAAATTGACATCGTCAATTAACTAACTGCTGGTCCAATTGTTAAACAAAAAACATGACATAAAAGATTGAAACTTGAGTTTTTTAAAATTTTTGATTTTGTGCCTTTTGAAGCAATTGTAACTTTATAACTTTATTCTCAAAAAATCAACTTGCATTAAATTTTTTTATATTTTTGACCCGCCGCGCATGAGTTTGCGGCTCCCATGTATCGTAAGAACGATAATTATTTGCCGCGCGCGTCCACTATGTAGTTAAAGTTTATAATATTACCTACCTTAAGACGCGCGCGCGCGCGCGCCGAGTCACGAATTAGACTCGTCGACAGTATATAAAATATAATATTTGGAACAACTATTTTACGAGTATCACCTTCACATAGCCATGTGTATACGCGTATTGCTTGACGCGCCTTCGGCAGTCGCGCGCTACTGCAAGCGAGAGGGCTCTTGTTACAGCAAAGTATCACCCGTTGCGTGAGATTTGATTTGTGTATGGAATTCTTCGTTACACAAAAACTTGATTGTACTTTTATTATATATATGTAAACTATGTACTGGTTTTGCCGAAAATATGTACTCTGTCCAAATGTTTCATATAAGAAATGATTTATATTAAAAATTTGAAATTTAGTTGTTTATTTTATTGAATTTTTTATTTTACCTTGCAATACTGATTGAACGACTTTTAATAAAAAATTTAAAGTAAAGTAAAAGTAAAATAAAAATTATGACACAACATCATCACTAATGTTTTTATAATAAAGTATCATCGCACTACATCATACATGGAAAAATATACAGTAACCATTCCTCCATCAAATTTAAAAGTAATAACTTATCAAATATTAATCATGAATAACAACAACATTAAAAAATGTAATTTATTCATACTTCCCAGTTGAGTAAAGATTTATAATACGTTTCTTTGCTACATAAGGATGAAACCAAAGATAACCATGTTTTTCCTTATTACTGACATAACTGGTACCTTCAATTCTTGTTAAAACTTCTTTCGAAACATTCCAAAAATGAAAGTCATTTACAATACATTTATGAATCATATTCTTTTTAATACTTTCCATGAATCCAATTTTAAAACTCAAAACTGTCAAGCAGTTCTTCACCTCCGAAGGGAGTTTGTTCCAATAAGGAACAATCCGCTCTGGAAGAAAAGAACACTGAAGATTCATGACCTTTGTCACACTCTTACTACATCTATTGGTTTAACCGATTAGCGTTCAATTCATTTAGTGTTGTTAAATGAACATATTTTAAACCTGCAATTAAAAAAAAGCGTATTTTGTATTGGTTCCATTATATTTGTAGAAATGTACCAGTATTACCAACATATCTTGAACCTTCAATTTAAAAAAAAGCGTATTTTGTATTGGTTCCATTATATTTGTAGAAATGTATCAGTATTACCAAACTGTATTCGACCATATATTACAAATATTTTCAACCTCAAACCTACTGTTGAAAAGTTATTCAAACGATATATACATTTCATCAAATCAAATGTTGGAATTGGCAGTACAGATCAGAGCACAGTACACGGTAATAATAAGTAATAATAATAGTATATATAATATATAATAAGTAATAAGTAATAATAATATATATAATATAAAGTAAATATAATATAATAATCATTTAAATGTTTATATTATAGTGGCAAACAACTTAAAATGTACAGGTATGTCACGAAAATAGTTCAGGACTAAATAAAACCTGAAAAAGCAATCCACCTTTATATTGTAAGCCGTGCAAGACTATTAAAACTTGATACACTAAATAAAACTTTAATCTGTATGCACTCCAGTAGAAAATTGTTTAGGGAAAAGCTAAGAAATATAGAGGCAGTATTTTAAGAAACTTATCAAGATTCAATATTATGAGCACGTTTGAAAAGAAACATTTTCAGATACACTTTATGAGAGAGTCCAATGACGAAATGATCCATTGCTACCAATATTATTTGAAATATCAACAATCAAATACATACACTTTGAACGACATTCCGATGTAGCCTACTCTATGGAGCCAGCCAAGGGTTCCGTTATATCTGTAGCTATACAACATTAAACAATAAACATCTGTGTCAAATCTTTTCGGTTGACTCCGCGATTGAGGGCTGAGAGTATCTTCTTAAGATTCCCCTTGTATATTAATTTTGGTAGATTTACATTGTAGTGTACTGTACTACATAAAATTCAATAAAATGGTCCGATTATATACATCAGCAAGCACTAATTTTGCAAGATTCTTGAGATCTCAGTGTTTTCGTAATTGCAACTATCACAATAACAGAGCTTTTTATGAAGGAATAGAAGCTGTGTGAAAGATGATACTCCGCTATAATCAGCAGTAGTCTTTTATCAATCCATTTTTTTACTAACTAAAATGTAATATTTGAATAATAATGACCCCTCAACTATGAAAAAATGTACTTTTATTATATAGCTATGCCATTTTCCTGTATTTAACGACTATTGGGTTTAGATGATGTGACTCCAAGACTCTGCGGCCTGCAAGTGACTGTTTCGGCAGTTTTCCCGAAGAAGGATGGTATGTGATCTTTATTCATATTTTTATGATATTAAAGGTGTATGATACTATTAAATGTACTTGCTGTTATACTTTGGCCACAAAAAGCCAGCCTATAGTTTTATAGCTTTTAGTTTGATTCTATCGCGACTTCAAGCTCTTTGTGGCAAGCATATTTAAAGTTCAAATTTACAGTTTTAATAAAAATGTCTTGATTTTAAAACTTTTTCACTTATGAGTATTGTTGAAAACCTAAATAAAATAAAATTTCAGAGTGCCTACCAAAGGTCAAAGACCCAAGGGGTGGAGGACATGGTCCTCCTACCAAAGATAACTGAAGCAGACATTGTGGACAATCTTAAAAAGCGCTACATGGAGGACCAGATTTTTGTATCCTTCTGCAAATTGCTCTATTATTATATATAAATTATATTTAGCTTTAAAAAAATATTATTCACTTTTCTGGCCGTCGGCCGATCCTTTACATGGTTCCCCACTTTTATGAGAAGCATGTACACCCTTACTTTAAAGTTTTCTTTCCTTAATGTAAATCACAGACATACATTGGAAATGTATTGATATCAGTCAATCCATTTAAACAAATGTCATATTTCACTGAGAAAGAGATCGACATGTATCAAGGAGCCGTAAGTTATTTATTTGCAATTTTCGAACCTTCATTGTGATTATTGGTAACAGTAATTTCCAATAACACAGATTATCATCATTCTGGATATTTTTGCTCTAGTCAATCCTAGTTTCATCTGTTCTGATAACAACACCAAAGTAAATATCTGACAGTTCAATAATCTCCCAGGCAAGTTATGAGAACCCACCTCACATATACGCACTGACAGACAACATGTTCCGTAACATGATGATAGACAAAGAGGGACAGTGTGTCATTATCAGCGGGGAGAGTGGAGCAGGGAAAACTGTTTGCGCTAAATTCATCATGAGTTATCTGGCTGCTATTTGTGGAGGTGGCCAAGACATCCAGGTAAAACACTGCCAATTTTTTTGTGATAATTATGTCCTGGATTTAGATAAGTTATTAGCCTTCTGTCGACCTTCACATCAGCCCGAGGCTTACAATTCTGCCCTGTGGCTCAAAGCGATTTTTATATAACTGCCATAGGGCATAGATCCTTTGAAAGTCCGCCACTCTAAAGTCCTGCCGCTCGGAATGACATGTTCATCCTACAACTAATTGGTTAAATAGGGTACATCAAATTGATAATATTCCAGTAATAGATTTTGAGGCTAACTCATTTGCAGTTAACCGTTCGGACTGCAGGTTTGCTGGCCAAAGGTGGTTCTGTTTCAGCTAAAGCCATGGGGGGCTGTCAAATGAATGACAATCTGATGGCAGATTGAGGACTAAGCCCACATTCAATTCTGCACATTATGTTACATAATATCCAATTTCGGTATTTAGGATCCAAGCTGATCCAAGCTATTTTGATGGTCACAAACTTTTGGACGTATGGTTCAAATGTATTTAACCGACTTTTTGTAAAATACTTCATACTTGGCGATTTGGGTTCAATGCATAATTCCTCGTTATTATCATCGTCATCCTATTGCATAATTTTTCGAATGGAAACTCCTATCTGGACAAAAGGTTTTAGTTTTCAACCCTCCCTAAAAATACCTTGATACACCCTGTACTATTTTTTGCATTATGCAAGGGGCGTTAACAATGAATCTGGTAGAATTTAAACATGTACGCCTCAGCTTCTAACCTCATGATAATTACATAATCCTTCATGATTATTATGCAACAAAACCTTGTCTACCACACCATATTTGACTATTTCACTTGTTCGTGCCTCAACTACCTCAATCATGTGTTAACTGATAAGGTTGGGTATTTTTTTAATTATATGTTTCTGATTACATTGTTGTAACAATAGCTTCTTTGTTCAGAAAGTTAAAGACGTGATTATAGAAAGCAATCCTTTGCTGGAGGCTTTTGGGAATGCAAAAACTGTTCGAAACAACAATTCCAGCCGTTTTGTGAGTATAAACAATAATATGTTCGGGGAACTTTCTAAGATATTACGTAATCACTGAGGGGGAGGGAGAGCGTTTAAAAAATTAATTACGGTAATGAAATTTCTGCTCAATAAGTATGTGTTAGATGGTACAATAAATGTGTGAAAGTGATTACAGAGAAGGGAAGCGGGGGGGGGGGGGGGGGGTAATATTATTTGGGGGTAATATTATTTGTAATATTATTTCAACAGTCACTTTTTACTTAGATATTTTGGATTTGTCGGACTACTAAAAATAACAATTTATAGCAAGTTAAATAACGATTACAAGTTTTGCACATTAGTAAGTATCATCGAAGATTCTTATCATCCTAAAACCTCTTACAGGGAAAGTACATCGAGATCCAATTCTCTCAAGCAGCTCTGCCGGAAGGAGGACGAATCAGCAACTTCCTTTTAGAGAAAAGCAGGGTCGTCAGTCAGAACCCCAACGAGCGAAACTTTCACATTTTCTATCAATTGCTTGCTGGGGCAACAGACGATGAAAGAGGTATGTGGAACCCAGATTTTCAATTTAAAACTTCGTAAAATTACAAAGGTCAGTGTACAAATGTTTGGGCTTATAATAACAATTTAACATAGCCATCGTCATGATTGAGACTTATAACTTTGCGTATAATGGCATATTGTAATTCTACTCATTCAAGGATTCTGTCGCCAAAATTGTATTTTTTGGAATCCACGCCCATCCAGCATGTCCTTGGTGAACATAGTAGAAGTCTCATTTTTACATATCGCAATTTAGGTCAAGAAATTCGGCAAATGATCTGAGAAAATGATGTGAAACGGAGTTTCTACACAATACCTATGTGTGTAATGTCCGTAATATGTGAACGATTCCTAATTAATTGGACGGCCATTAGAATATTAGATGACGTGGTACGACAACAATCAACTATTTGATTAAGTTATCATAGTTTATGAGTAGGGTAGCTCGATCAGGTAACCCAATCACCTGATCACCTAGGAAATTGTAAGTGCAATGGACAAACACATTATAATGCTTGATATCTCGGTCATATGAAAAGCTAGTGCATCCATTTTTAAGGACAAACAAAACGCGCTTCAATTTAATTCGATCTAATCATTCAAAATACATAAAATTAGTGATGGTAGCAAGTCATTTCAGAAATGATTACTTTAATCAGGCAATCAATGACTGAGAAATAAATCCAAACGTTTGTATATTTTGGGCACGCCTCCTACCCCCCGCTTTGTATGTTAGACGTCCATGGGATTCATTAACAGTGTTAATTTAACACCCTCCTTCGACTTCTACTTTTAAATGGTTAAATGTCAGGAAATCAGAACTCGTCTCTGATAAGTACGTGAGTTGATGGTCGGACAAAAGGCATGTTAATCAAACTAGCATGGTACAATTATCCTTGTAAATCTTCTTCTTTGAAAAATAAGTTTCTTACTAAAGCACCTTGCACCACTTGTATTTATAAATAAAGTTATGAAGAAATTTAAAAAGTTTAATGCTGTATATTTTCTATGATCTCAGAGGCAAATTTGTGTAACCAAACACTTAAGAAGGATGTGCATTATACAATTTAACAGAATGTTACGCACTACGCAGTCACCCGGTCATAAAACTATCGTATAGTTTAGATCATTGGCCCGTGGCCTGGAACATTGATAATTGATATTGACAACGTGAACCTTTCACTCTCTATATTTACTCAATAGCCTTTTTAATCTCATGTTTATCGGTATATTTGTCCTCAAACACGTCATCATTAAGTGTACTTAAAATTTGAAGCACACTTTTGTCTCTAACAGCCAAACTTTTCAATAGAATCAACAGCCTTCTCAGCGGTATTACTGAGTCTTACAATTGATAGCATCTTCTGACTTACAAATCAGCTCCTTGTAGATTAAACCATTAATTATTAAACAATTATGAATTAGTCAGGCACTAAATAATCAATTAACACGCTGATTGACAGGAGAATGCGGTCTTGGTGAGCCAGATTACTACTGGTACCTCAACCAGAGCGGAACGTACACTGTGGACGGAACTAATGATGCTAAGGAGTTCGCCGACACTCGGGTAATTAAATTTATCTAATATAATTGTAATTGAGATGATCAAGTAAAGCTGCAATCATTTTACTGTGCCCTATTACTTTACTGTGTCCTCCTATGGTTGTGCAGTGTGCACGTTCGTGTACGGATGCTTATACCCTATCAGAAACAGTTCTCCAAAAACATAATACAATATGACGGGATCTTAATGATATTCGTGGTTAGCCTCTTGAACACTTAATATCTTAGCCGTGACCTCTGTGCCCGCCTGTACTCCTGTTTGGTTTACTGTTTAAGCAAGACATCCCCACAATTATAACGTACTGAGACTGGAGAACGCTGGAATTAGGAAATCTAACAAATAAGCGATGGAGCACGCTGGATTCAGGACGATGTAGCACGCTGGATTCAGGACGATGCAAGTGCACATGATCATGATTAAATCTTACACTCGTGTGCAATGTTGGCGGGTTTAATTTCTCATCCAGTATATAAAGATAATGATGTAGCACCTGTTTCGAAGCAATAGTGAAATAGATAGGTAATATTGTCTCATGTTGTCACACACATATTATAAGATCTGAGAAAAGAGTTGAAGGCGCTGTGCTACGGTATCAGGTTCTTCTATTACTGGTTTGGTTTAAGGTTACATCGTAATACCAAATACAGGGTTACTTAACAAAAATGTACGGTTAGTAAATACCGAGCTGAGTTTCTAAAATCCTCAACTTTTATCAGATGTTCTACATAACCTGAACATAAAACCCGCAATTATTGCCGCAACTTATTAAATATATGTCTGCGGTCTGCCTCTGTCAGTTAGTCTGTTTTAAATATTGAACTAACAGTAGCCTTCCTTTTTTGAGCAATCACTAAACTGCCCTTGTGAGTAGTTGGGAGTGAGGTCACGTGCAACTGTGCTAATCACGTGTGTACATGAATGTAACATTGTCATTAATATTAGGAACTGGTTCTAAAACTATGTTTAACAGTGTGATAAACTGTTAATCTGCTGTTCAGACCAGTACACTGCGTTACTAACCGTATCAAACCTGTGGTTCAAAAATATAAGTTCGATGAAAATATTTGTTGGAAGATTAGAGTGATTCGAAATACAAAAGTGTTTGTGAGTGGAACTTAAAAAAATTAAACTATCTAATCTATGTTTTAGTAAAATAAAGTTTACCTTGCCACTAGGGCTATTAAATTGCCAGTAATCAATACAGATTAAAAGGCTAAAATGTGCCTAACCTTAATCTAAAATTTAAAATTAGAGTGTATCTTAGCTAATGAATGAATGCTTCTGACATCCCCACGTAATGTATCTTAGCTAATGAATGAATGAGGCAACCGTAGCAAGATAGTTGCTTATCTAGGCATTTACATTTCGATTTGGCCCAATTGCCGCGTGGGATCGATCGCTGAACAACGTTTAATTTTCATGACTAAACTCATTTTAGGCAATATTATATATTAGTTCCTGACTTTTCCTGAACTGTTCGACTGACAGTTGATTGACATCACCAGACAATAACCAAGGATTTTAACATAATCGCCGCATATTTTAAGAAAACCATTTAGTCGAAGGTCAAGTAAACGACCACCTTGTGGCCATTTTTGGTTAAAAGTTTCTACAGCATCATTCCTAGTTGTAACAGACATTCCCAAAATAGAAGCAGAGTTGGCGTGGGTGGTCTGTCATTACTGCCTGTAAGAACGGTGTGATTATGGTTGAGGTTGCAATGTAATCAGTCATTTAATTTTTATTAGAATCTTTAAAAAACAAAAATTTTATTGTAATTATTTTTCAATCTTCGCCAATCCGTGCATACTGGCTTGGCGAAAAAATTATCACGTGACTTGGGTTTTTACGGTTTTACATAAACCCAACCCTAACCATAACCCCAAAGCTAACCATAATGTAACCTTAACCACAACTGACAACCCTAACCCTAACCCGAACCCTAAACAATCGAATTCGTGTTTTGCTAGCAGGCCGATTCGGAATCAGCGTCCAAAAATACATCGAACCGAGTTATTTTCGTTCCCTCATGGCCTTTACACAAGAATTAAACAAAAATCGTGCGAGCAATTTAGTGAGAGCGGTGCACAATCTTTGACTTTATGTTTTACTAAGACTGACAGTTTACAAAATCTGTCCGTGAAGTTTCTCAGTTTAACCAAACGTAGAGCCGACATAGCAAATAAATTTAATTTACTTTTGAATTTTTATCACCTATATGTATATTATATATCATGTGATGTTGTAAGTGCATCAAACATCCTTTAAACTTAAAGCAACTATCCACTATCCAGTGATCTAGTCTTATGGGACCCTGTGCATGGTAGAGCACAACGAGGCGGACCCAGACAAAGATATTATATGTTACTGAATAAGGAAGTTGGGACAAACTCTTAAGACTTTAAGAGGAAGTTCTTTCGACCTAGCTATTATGTATTAGTAGTTGTAGCTGTAGTAGTAGTAGTAGTAGTAGAAGTAGTAGTAGTAGTAGTTGAAAGTTAAGCAGGTGCCCCGTGAAGGTCTTACTTTGAAGTTGTCGACATTGATTTCCTCACAGAGTTTGAGATTTTTATCTCTGTTGTACAACTTGGATCAACATCCATTACAGTCTCAACTTGTGTAAAAATCGGAATAGTTTCAGAACTTTCAGTTTTGATCCTTTAACATAATATGCCCTGTTGTAGCTGTTTTCCAACTCTGCTGACGCAAACAAGTTGAATGTACCTACCTGAAAATCAAGTCTAAAAGTCTATCTTCTCCTACATTTTTTGAGCAATCACCCTTAAACTTTCAGGATATATTCTAGGGATCATTAAGAAGAGAAGAGCCGGACTGAATTTTGAGATAGGCCTTTAAATAAACATATCCTGAAAGTTTCAGGGTGATTGCTCAAAAAATATAGGAGAAGATATATTTTTGGACTCGATTTTAAAAATTTATGAAAATTAATTAATCATCAAAATTAATCAATCCCAAATTTCAGCACGCGATGGACATCATGAACATAGACCAGAACACGCAATGGGACATTCTTCGCATAGCTTCAGGAATCCTGCACCTGGGAAACATTACATTTGTTGAGAAGGGGTCCAACGCATCAGTTCCTGCTGATTCATCTTGTAAGTATCTCGTTATTATCACATGATCAGTGTTTTCTAAACGTGGCTTTACATTTTACTGTGTACAGATTGAAATTGGAGTAGTTCAAAATGTTGAATAATGGTGTTCAGAGTCACTCCCAGTTTCAAAGGAATTGTCCTGATCAAATTACTAAACTTGTCTCATAAGCTGCTCTATAAGTGTACACACAAAAACGTTGTTTATAATTGATCTACTTAAGTTCAGGTTGAAAGGTGAGCTCTCGTCGTCATTTATTCGACTTAGTAGTTATAAAATGTTATGTTTATGTAAATGTTTTGTAATGTTTTGAGTATAAACTATATACACATCATTGAGCTGTGTACACTGTACACTAAATGAATAACGCATTGTTACATTGTAGTACGAGTAGCTGGGCACTGTGGACCAATGTTGTTTTATGTAAACAATACATTTACGAATATACCGCTAATACGAGCAGTGTTTACATGAAAACAGTTTCCTCGGGTATATTGATCTAGTAAAATAACATTATGGAACTATGCTATTAGTCATGGAAATGCTTTTGTTTTTAAATCGCCCATAACATAATGCATAATCCCAATGAAGAAAATATTCTGAAATGTTTCGCCAGTATCCACGTGACCCGACCCATTCAGTGCACCAATCCGCAGACTGGGTCGGGCTTCTTGTATACTACCAATGGTTCGAAAATGGTAATTTCTATTCACAAGAATCAGAATGGTTACATTCTTGATAAAACATAGTTTGTGTCCTAAATTTACTCACATAAACGGTAGACAAGTTGTTAGACCGCCCACAAAGTATTCTACAGAATCTGCCACGTTTAAATCAAGAGAGCTGGATCAGATTGGGTAAGCCAATTTAGTAGTTCGAGTGCCTGCCCTTTGACAGTTTGACCATATAAAATGGAATATTCACGGAGAATTCACACAGGAAATGACATTATTTTGAGCATGGTTTAAATATTTTAAATGAGACCGTCTCGAATTTTGAACTGAATCGATTTAAATTTGAATTCTGAGAAATTTAGAAAATTTCAACGTATGGTTTAAAGGTTTTAGGATGATCGTTTCGAACTGGACTGATTTTAATACAAATTCTGAGTAACTACTAGAAAATTTCAACGCGCTGGAGAACGCTCTCTCATTTTTAAATTTTAGAGGTTTAATTAAGGTTATTTTCTGCCGTGCGATTCAATATGAATTAATCAGTAACACATGTTAAGTCAGCTAGTATTCGGCTATTTCAAAGTTTCAAGAGCAAAAGTTGTTAATAGCTTGCAGAGTACACCTCAGGGTTGTACCTAAACCCCTTAGCGTCTAACGAATCTTTCGGACGTTTGATTAAAGTGGATCAGACCAGGTTGTGAGATATTGAAAGTTACTAATCAAGTTACTAATTAAGTCACTAATCAAGTTATTGATCAAGTTACTAATCAAGTCACTAATCAAGTCACTAATCAAATTACTATAATCAAGTCATTAATCAAGTTACTAATCAAGTCACTAATCAAGTTATTGATTTATTGATCAAGTTACTAATCAAGTTACTAATCAAGTTACTAATCAAGTTACTAATCAAGTTACTAATCAAGTTACTAATCAAGTTACTAATCAAGTTACTAATCAAGTTACTAATCATGCTATTACCTCTCAATTCCTAATGATAACCTCCTCATTTCAGTCCTACAATATCCTGCTTACTTATTGGGAGTCGAAGAAGAGTTACTGTGCATCGCCCTGACTAACAGAGTCATGGAGAGTAGGTGGGGAGGAAAAGTTGAGATCACCAACGTTACCCTTAACCCTGAGCAGGCTGTATCCACCAGGGACGCGCTCGCTAAGGCGCTCTACAGCCGACTCTTCGATTATCTTGTAGCGGTAAGTTAGACTGAGGAATCTGTCTGGGTTTCTATGGTGCTACCAAATATGATTTTATTTCATTAATCTAATTTTATTAGTTCGCCGTCTCTAATATTTATTTGACATACTTTGACATAATGCAAATATATAAAGCCATTAAAATGAAAAATATAAGATTTACGAACAAATAGATTAGATATACATATAGCCGTATAATGTCGATTTCGATAATTGTCAAAGTGGCAACTTAGCAATCTGTCGATGGAAACTTGACGCAAGGTTGACTCATAAAAATATCTGTTGCCCTACTGCATTATGGTATTAGAACATTGATTGATGGTTTAACGATTCAAAATATTTCTAAAGAATACGTGGAATGATAAAATTGCTAGGCTATTGCAAATATTTAGGACGCACACCTTGACCTTTAGCTTACCCCATACCAAATAGATTTATTATCTCAGAAATATTTAGTATAGATAGAACTGATTTGCTTCATCTCAGAAAAATGTAGAGTAAATTGAGCATGTGATTGATTTGGGATTGAAGATTCATGCTTACTATTGATAACGCATGTGATGTGATGTAATCGTATTGAGATTTATAATAATCCACCAGGAAAGTAAAAACTAATATTTCTCTGTACATCTCAGGCGGTTAACAATGCGTTTGGCATAAAAGAAAAGAGTGAGTTTTCTATCGGTGTACTGGATATCTACGGATTCGAAATATTTGAGGTTTACTTTTAAACGATAACTCGTTTCATAATTCGTTAAATTGATCGTATGTATAATATCTGTCCGTTGATGTTTAAGATATTTTGTTAGTTACTACAGAAGTCATCCCGTAATAGATCGACAAAGATGTTTGTTTCGCCTGATTAATATTACATTGCGACCAAGTCACTTATTTATTGCCTTATAATGTACATCACACACATCACATTTCAGACGAACGGATTTGAGCAGTTCTGTATAAACTTCGTGAACGAGAAACTTCAGCAAATCTTCATAGAACTTACTCTAAAAGCTGAACAGGTAGATTGACTGTGTGAACCAAATCCGGCCATTTCAAATAATTAAGTTGAAGATTTGATTGAGTGGAATGATTTCAAATTATATAATGTTTTTATCAGGACGAATATGTTGAAGAAGGAATATCATGGAAAGCTATAGATTACTTCAACAACAAATGTGTGTGCGATCTCATCGAATCTAAGGTGAGCCAACTGACTAATTAAATGAGATTGTGCTCCCCTGTCTCCCTTCCCACGGCCCCACCCTCAAGTTGCCCGCCTCAGAAGCTACACTTAACTATTTAACCACTTTCTCTATGGCATCAATTTAGTATTAGATCATTTTATGTCCGAATTTTTTGATGTTTTCTTATTTGACTCTAGTAAAAATTAACAGATTTTTACTGGACAATAAAAGTCACGTTCCAGAGCACGTCGTACGTACTCATTATTACATACTCAAATTATTTGCTATATAATATGAGTGTTGAAGTTTATATTATCCAGGAAATTTTGTCCTTGCTCGAGTCTAATCAGCAAACATCTGAAGTTTTGAACATGAGATCATTCATTAAAACTTAACAGCAATTCACGGCTACATCACATTAAATCATGATAAAGTTGGCGGCCTCTCGTGGATACTGCCAGCAAATATTTTGGATGTTTCAGAAACGATAGGACATGAGGAATAAGGTGATCATCATTCATCATACTCTTCCAATAAGTTTGATCGCGGGCCAAGTGGTTCCCCGAAAATATTTCCGAAAAGTGGAGCAAATAGTTACACAGCTTACATTTGATGTGTGTAATTTTTGGCTCTTATTCAATTACGACTCAATGAAACAATGAGCTGTTTCGACTTAAACGTGTCTTTTTCGATGATAAGATATTTTAATCTAAGTTATTTTGGGTGATCGGTCTCATGCTCTCATGAACTCCGAAAGGTGTAGGTGCCCTCTCGACTCCAAACTATTATTTACATTCTAAAACTAGAACAATAGTAATTCTGACCTTTATTTAACGTAGTATGCTCACTCGAAACACTCATAACATTTGTTTGAAGGCAAAGTCTTGGAGCTCAGTTTAGATTACAGCTATTGTGATATGTTCAGCAATCAGGATCTTAAGTTTTGTACTTCAAGGAAACAATATAGCACCGTCAACCATGTGTAATCCGAGTCCCTTGGATGATCAAATTTCATGCTAACAGGGCACTTCTTTGCAGACAACTTCAGTTAATGTTGAACATGGAATACGCAATGTGTTGCGTCTTGATAAAAGGGCCTAATTTCAAATTCACCGTGACAGCGTCGAGCCGCGCACCCGCAGTTGCATGCATATGGTTCGCGTGACATAACCAGCATGCATGTCGATGAGCCGTATTTCGTCTCATACTTTCGAAGATGATTAAAAGCCTCGATGGTATTTAAATCGGATTTTCGACCTATAAGTAGATCTGAGTGGAGAGACACATCAGTTTGCTGACGTCACATCATTTGGATTTGGCGCCCAGGAAGCCAAAACGATAGTAGGAAGAAAATGTCCACACACACGCATAATTCAACATTTGGTGTGTAACGAAAGGTTATTTGAAGAGGGAAGGCTTCGTGTGCCGTGAATGCTATAGCACGCTGAAGATTAAACGGTAAACAGCGATCATGAGATCTGAGTTTAGTACTCTAGTAACTAGATCACAGGACGAAGAACCAAGAATGCAAGGTTTTATATGTAATTATGGCTACGCAGATAATTATGCATACAAATTATGCATGTTATAGGTCATTTTAATAGTTAGCCGTTTAGCGTGCATAATGATAAAGCAGATCAACAAAAAAACAGGGGAAAGTGAGCTATATCTATGATAACATCTTCAACCTACTGAAGCAGTTCCGTCGAGATTCGCTAGTTCGACCTTTAACGACAACGGACAATATAATAGCTGAGCCATTGAAATGCAGGCTTATAGAATTACAAAAATGTACAAAACTTGTGATTCTATTTCAGTATTTGGGTTTGGTCGAGTCATCTGATCCAGGAAAATCTGTTTTGTTATAATAACAACACCGATTATAAGTTCTAAATTTATAAGTACTAAATTTATGAAATCTGGCAGAATTTAAGAAGACTTTTGAGTTCATCATTCGTTGTATGAAACCTACTTTGCGGAGGACGGCGAGTCTAGAAATTTGATATCACCATGATTAGTGTTAATATTTATCCGTTTGAATCATTCAACATTTACATCTTTATGCTCTTTCTTCTTCGTTGTTGTTTGAAGTACATCTCCACTGGATGTATAGCAATTTAAATCTAATATTAACTTATTTTTATTATAAAATACATGTTATCAAAAAGCTTATTTTTATTATAAAAGCTTATTTTACTCTAAATACATGTTATCAAAAAAGCATCAAATTAATGATACATCAGTCATCTTTTATGATAACTTTTGTATTATTTTTTTCGAATAATACTGGTCAGTCATACGTTCAGGCCCTCGAGATGATTTTAAAGAATGCAATGATGGCTACTTTGAGGTGTTTTCTGATCAGAATTCCAGTGTCCGACCTCCAATCTCTATTAAGTCTAACTTTACTGTAGACTATCTGCTGTAAAAAGAAAACGTACAAATTATCACAAAAAACTCTGCAACAACGGATCAAGAGTGACGAATGTTGCCATGTTTACGGCGATCTTCAGGAAACTAAATTTGTCTTGTGATCAAGCCATCACTGATCCTCCAACAATTATAGTTTTTGAAACTAACGTTGGGATTTATGTGTCCATTGGAAAACTGGGAGGTAGATTTCAAATCTATGAGAGCGAATCGCATGCTTTTGTCGTAGAAGTCATTAGCAGATATCATCCAACAGAGCTTGTAATGGACAGATTACCCTTTCTCGCTACTGATGGACAGTTTGAAACCTGACAGAAGCGTCAGTATTACCTCTGCCGATCTCAGTAATCAGGTTGCAAAAAAGATATTTTCAGAAGTTGGTGTGAGTCAATATGACCTTAATGATTTATATTTCAAGTTGAGTGAGAAAGAAAATGTGGCACACACAGTTTTAGGCGAGAACTATGAAAACCTGGGTATATTAAAGTATATCCCCGGGTCAAAATCGGAAAAAATCCTACATTTTAATATACTTTAATATACCTACAATTAGAAGATTTATATTCTTTGTTAAGATTTACATGATGAACTATATTTTTCACTCAGATTCGCAAGATAAGCCTGTTTTAGGACTAGTACATGAATTTCCATCCAGATTGGTCAAAAATTGGCTGAGCTATGACTCTATGAGCTTTAAAAAATATGCCCATATTTGGGCATACGCTTTTGCCCAAATTCGCTTTTGACCAAATTCGATAAAATTTCAATATTCTTTAATGAGACTAACTCTATGTGAAAGATATAACTCAGTGTTTGTTGAATATAGTGGATACTAAGTAAAAAGACCTCCATGAACAAAATTGGGAAAATTGCACATAATATCTCGGTTCGGAATACTAGCAAAAATGACTTCATTAAAATTGAAATAACTCCATCAGTTTTCAATATTTTTTCAAGAACTTTTTGGAATAGATTAAGAATTGCATTTCAAGCTTATTTTGGGCAACAATTTTTGAAGTAGGCTTCCAAGGAGATAGGGATATATTAAAGTATATTGTAGGTATATTAAAGTATATTAAAGTATATCCCCGGGTCTTAAATCGGGAAAAATCCTACATTTTAATATACTTTAATATGGTTGCCCCCCCCCCCCCAACCTTATTGAAAACGCAAAGATTACCAACATTTCTGTTTACAAATCTTATCATGACAGTGAAGACACAAACTCAAAAGAATCAGTCAGTGCTGGGAGCCAGGGGTTTGTAGTTTTGAAGATTAGTTGTGGAGGTTTCTTATCCGTAAAAAAAGCCTGGGACGGTATTTACATAGGAAAGAGCACATGGTTTGAATATCTGGTTTATGGAATAAGTTTATACATCGGTGAGTTTGAAGTTTTAGATGAAGACTACATTGAACTCATTGTTGAAGATGAATCTAGGTGCTGCCTCAGGTGTCTCTTTGATTTACTGAAAAATTTGGACAGCGAAGAGCAAAGCAGATATGCACCTGATTTTATCTTCTTGGACCGAATATTTGATGCAGTTGCTTCGAATCAATTTAATTTCAATATAAGTTCCGTTAACAATGTGGCCGAGAAAGTTCTCGGTTGTAGATATGAGGAACTCCTGAATAGTGCAAAAGTTACGCACGTTGCAGTTTACAAAACCCCTCTTGATTCAACGTTCACAAAGTCGTATCTCAACCGCATCAAAATTCAAAAGATACTTGAAGATACAGTGTACACCTGTTGATTTTCACGCATTCTTAGTCCTAAAGACAAATATTGGAATTTTTCTATCCCTAGAAAAGCAGCAAGATGGTATTTACATCAGTAAGAGTCCACAGTACAAGTATTTGGTTTACGGACTACCATCATCAACACGAAATACTCCAGTGGAGCTTATTGTTGAAGCACGATCCAAATATTCTCTCTCATATTTGATAGAAAATTTAATTTGTGAGAAAGATGAATATGATACTATTGGGAACAACTGCCAGGATTTTGTGAAACGACATTTTGATAAAATGGCTTTGAGGAAACACTGGGAGTTTGAACGTCCCAGAGAATACTTTTATAAGTTATCCTTACAAACTATTATCATTGTTGTAGGTGTTGTGATAGTATGTAACTTTCTTAGCATCAGTCCGTACGCTACGTTGATAATGATCATCATCTTCACTTGTCGTGTTTTATATTCAAGGTTTTGTGATTAATTAATAGTCATAAAAAATGTCCAGTATTCGATAGAATATACCTATCACTAGAGTTATAGCTACGTTGTTATTTAGTGTTTGCAGAATCCCAGTGACGAGTATGTTTACCAATTAATAAAGATTTAATTCGAAAACAATTGCGTTTATTATTGTTTGCTATGTCCCCCAGCTCTAGCCCCACCCTACATCTAATATATAACTAAGTTAATTCTTCTTTTACTACGATAAATATTAGGACGATAAGGTAGTTGTAATGAATGCCCTGCTAGAATACTTGAACACAATTTATTTCAATTTGACCGTTTTTATTTTCAGAGACCACCAGGTGTGATGTGTGTGTTAGACGATGTTTGTGCGACCATGCATGCAGTGAGCGATGGGGCTGACATGAAGTTCGTTGAGGTAGGATTTCAATATGCTCTGGATACTTTGGTTCAAGCTTTAGTACAGACAGATCCGTCTAAAAAAATCGATCTGCTGACACTCAAAGCTTTCAGAGGTTTTTTGACGTTTTTGAGTCCCATTAGGTGCCCTTTATGGCTGACCAACTTTTCCAAACTTTTCCACTTGTCTTAAGGCCACTTTTTGCCACTTTACCACTTTTTACCACCTTTTTTGTTTGTCGAATATCTTTAGTTGTGAACATCGTAAAAGGTTGCGGATCAATCGAGTGTGTTCATATTATCAGGAAGAAAAACTTTTGTTCAAACAATTTTTACGTCAGATAATAAGTTAATTGGATAATTATCAATTAACTAATTAGCAAAATTCTAAAAAATTTTTATTGGCTAAAAATGATCGGAATAGCTTAAAACACGGAGAAAAGTAGTTTTTAGAAAAAATTTAAAATTTTTCACTTACATTTTTTTTTCGAGACTCGTAGAAAAAATTTCGAAAATTAAAAAAAATTTTCCGCCAAAAGTGATCAAATCGCATGAAACACGGATAAAAATGCCTTTCTAAAAAACGTAGTGAATTTTTCGTTTCAAGAATACTTAAATCGCCAATATTTGTAGTTGGAGTTCAGTAAATCTCGGCAGATTTTAGTAATCAGGAATTAGTATTACTAAGTGAAGAGGTCTGAAACTGAAAAACGTTAACCATACGATCGCGCGGCGATATAAGAGTTTCATAAACTAATTTTCACAGAAACTGCACCAATGGCACAGTCAAGATCGAAACGATAGCCTGCTGTACTGTCATTTTATTGATTTCAATGATGAATCAGTGGGGTTAAGATAATCACATTTGTAATAAAATATAAATAACACATCTCTGTACCGTCAATTGTGCTAGTCTAAACCAGCCTACCTGTATTACCAGACCTCTTCTTTTCCTCGACAAATGACAATCAAACCAAGTTGCTCATATCGCATTTGGTGGGTGATGTAAGTAGTAATGCGCTTAGTCAATAAAGACACCGTGATTTTTATTAAAAGGAGATGATAAAGCAAGTATTCATGACACAAAGAAGAATGGTCGGTGGGGATTGGGACCCACTTAAATCACCTTAACACAGTGCCCTCGGTAATCCATCCTGTCATTCAAATCACCTTAACACAGTGCCCTCAGTAATCCATCCTGTCATTCAAATTATTTGTTATATAGTAGTGTTGTAGGTATTGAAACTTATACATAACGAGCTGTATTCAATCAGAATACGACACAATACGTGTATATTATATGGCTCTTAATGAGAAACCCGGTATAGAGACGTTTTAAAGTTTATCACGAAAAAGTATACTTGGCCTCATTACATGGCTCATTTACAGTTCGAAGAAGGCAAGAACAGATCAAGGAAACTAAGGAACAGCCAGGTCCAGAAAGCAAGTGTAAATACACCTTCCAACATCAACTGTGACTTGTTTTGTATTGTTCTGCATACCGCTTCATTTGCTATGCTGGATACCTCAAATCACCCCCATATGTCAGGGTCGGCTAAACGTAAAATCAGCAAGGGTAACATACTGGCAAGGGTAAGATGTAGATACGAGTGACGGGCAAGGGGTAGTAAAGAACCGGTAATAATTAATTCAGTGAAATATTCCACGAGAGTCAGGATATTTTGGAAATTGCTAATAGAGACAGATTCTGATCAGGAAGGATTGTTAATGTTATTGAGGGTGTTGATTTGAAATCCGGACGTCGTGAGGTAAAAATACAGGTTCTTCCCGTAGGATATTCGGGGCTATGATGATCAGCTCAGGATTAATGTGGGACAGATGGACGGGCATTGAAAAGAGCGAGTTGAAAGCTTTCTGGTCTTTTCTTGCCTTCTTTGAGCCATGAGGCCAAGTAGACGTTTTCGTGATAAACTGTAAAACCTCTCCATACTGGGCCTCTCACGGGAGAAACGAGAAGTGTACGATATAGAACGTTTCATATACCTCATTAAGGGCCATAATATAATATACACGTATTGCATTGTGTCGTTTTGTGATTGAATACAGCTCGATATGTATTACTACTTACATCACCCACCAAATGCGATATGAGCAACTTGGTTTGATTGTCGAGGAAAAGAAGAGGTCTGGTAATACAGGTAGGCTGGTTTAGACTAGCACAATTGACGGTACAGAGATGTTTTATTTATATTTTATTACAAATGTGATTATCTTAACCCCACTGATTCATCATTGAAATCAATAAAATGACAGTACAGCAGGCTATCGTTTCGATCTTGACTGTGCCATTGGTGCAGTTTCTGTGAAAATTAGTTTATGAAACTCTTATATCGCCGCGCGATCGTATGGTTAACGTTTTTCAGTTTCAGACCTCTTCACTTAGTATAATTCCTGATTACTAAAATCTGCCGAGATTTACTGAACTCCAACTACAAATATTGGCGATTTAAGTATTCTTGAAACGAAAAATTCACTACGTTTTTTAGAAAGGCATTTTTATCCGTGTTTCATGCGATTTGATCACTTTTGGCGGAACATTTTTTTTTAATTTTCGAAATTTTTTCAAGTCTCGAAAAAAAATGTAAGTGAAAAATTTTTAAATTTTTTCTAAAAACTACTTTTCTCCGTGTTTTAAGCTATTCCGATCATTTTTAGCCAATAAAAATTTTTTAGAATTTTGCTAATTAGTTAATTGATAATTATCCAATTAACTTATTATCTGACGTAAAAATTGTTTGAACAAAAGTTTTTCTTCCTGATAATATGAACACACTCGATTGATCCGCAACCTTTTACGATGTTCACAACTAAAGATATTCGACAAACAAAAAAGGTGGTAAAAAGTGGTAAAGTGGCAAAAAGTGGCCTTAAGACAAGTGGAAAAGTTTGGAAAAGTTGGTCAGCCATAAAGGGCACCTAATGGGACTCAAAAACGTCAAAAAACCTCTGAAAGCTTTGAGTGTCAGCAGATCGATTTTTTTAGACGGATCTGTCTGTACTACTTCAGATTATTTGATTTTTGTCGTGGATCATTTATATTTTCGATCCAAAAATACGATGCGTTTAATATTTTAAACTTTGTTAATTTCAGAAATTGTACGGAGTAGTTAATAACAACGAACATTACCTGAGCTACTCTCAAGGCTTCATTATCGTACATTATGCTGGCAAGGTAAGCCCCCATGTCTAAGTAGACTTTCTCAAGTCGTTTATTGTAGAGTTTAAATAGACAAATGTTCTGCATTTTTGGGATTCCTTTTGATGAATTGAGGTATTTTACAGGTAGAGTACAATGTGAATGGATTTTGTGAACGTAACAAAGATGTTCTCAATAATGATGTTATCGAGTTGATGCAAACTTCTTCAAACGCTTTCATCAAGAGTCTCTTCCCAGAGAATCTCGTGAGTCACCTCCAAAGTTTACTTAGAATCGACATATGATTAGTGATTTCAATGGTATTGGTTCTCTCTATGAGTATGAGCTCAGAAAGCAACAAATTATTCGAATTATTATCAATCTAGCTTCAATCCGGTATTGTGATCGCAGTATTTTGTAACTTCTTACTCCTGTCCAGGCTGTTCTTAAAGAGAAGAGAGGAAAACCTTCCACTGCCGGATTCAAGATAAAGACACAAGCAAATGATTTAGTAGCTACACTTATGCTGTGTACACCTCATTATATTAGGTTTGGATGCTAAATTTAGTTTATTGTCCTCAAGACGGATTTATTCATTTATGAGCAACTACAAACATTATTTTTAGTACTCTGTTATGACTTAATGTATTGTCGCACGAATTTTAAATCGTTCCAACCTCTCAGGTGTATTAAACCGAACGAGACGAAGAGAGCACACGACTGGGAGGATCTCCGAGCGAAGCATCAAGTCGAGTATCTAGGTCTCAAGGAGAATATTAGAATCAGACGAGCAGGGTTCGCTTACCGACGTCCCTTTGCCAAGTTCCTACAGCGTTATGCCATCCTAACCAGAGAAACCTGGCCACGTTGGCCTGGGGAACCAGCCGGAGGGATCAAACATGTCATGGACTCTGTATCAATGGAGCCATCTCAGTGGCAGATGGGAGTTACTAAGATTTTCATAAAAGCACCAGAAAGTCTGTTCTTACTGGAGGAGACGAGGGAGAGAAAGTTTGACAGTTATGCCCGTGTTATCCAAACCGCTTGGAGAAAGTACGTCAGACGACGTGAAATGGCTGAAATCAGGGAAAAGGCTACTGACATTCTTTTCAAGAAGAAGCTGAGACGCAGGGCTACCATCAACCGCTGCTTCGTTGGTGACTACATCGGATTCGGCCAGAATGCCGGTCTTCGTGCCCTGGTGGGGAAACGAGAAAGGATCGAGTTTGCTTGTTGCATTAATAAATATGATAGGAAATTCAAAGTACAGAAGCGAGACATGCTCCTTTCTGCTCAAAACTTATACCTGATTGGACGAGAAAGGGTCAAAAAGGGACCACAAGCTGGCGAAATTATTGAGAAAGTGATGAGGATTATCAAGTTATCTGAAATAGTAAACGTAGACCTCAGTACACGCCAGGATGATTTCTTTGTCATTCGTGTGAGGGAGGCGTTCCCGAGTGTATTGGAATCTGTGTTTAAAACAGAGTTCCTCACAGTTCTTAGTGAAAAAATGGCTGCTACAGGAAATCCAGTCAACATCAGTTTTTCTGATCAGATAACGTACACCGCAAAGAAAGATAACAACAAAATGAAAGCCTGGATAGGATCACTTATGGGCGATGAGAGAGTGTTACAATTCGTCAATGGATCTGAGGACTTCCCTGTGCTGACGGCGAAGGGTAAGATGCTGACTATTGCTATCGACAACGGTCTACCTCGAGACACTAGACCAGGTAAAATCTCTGAGAGACAGGGGTCCTTCAACAAGCAGAAACCTCCGAGAAGCGCTCAAAGTTATAAATATCAACCTCCGGGATCCCAGAAGAAGTCAGAGAAGATGTCACGGTCGAACACCAGCATGGAGCGACCTTCCATGCACAAGATTGGTGCCAAACAGAGTGCCAAAAACCTCAACCCACAATCCAGCAACAAATCCTTCATGAATGTTCCGTCGCCTAACATGAGCATAAAAAGAAAGGGTCCGCCTCCGCCACCGCCTCCTCAACCAAACTACCCTAAAGTAAGAGTACTGTACGACTATCAGGCTCAGGATGCAGAGGAGCTTTCCCTCTCCGCGGGAGATACCGTCAACCTCCTCAGAAAAGAGGATAGTGGCTGGTGGGTAGGTGAATTGAAAGGGAAGAAGGGATTGTTTCCATATAATTATGTTGAAGAAATATGAGACTTATTATGAGATTATGATTTCCATTGTTTGATATATAGAATACCATATAATTCTCATCGATCATTTTGCATTCATGGCTTCATTTTGTACAGTCTTTATACTAATTTACGAATAAGAGTTGCAACATGGATTAAAGATTGAAGGCATAAAAATCAAACACACATTACTTTAATCTTATGTAACTGTAAGCCTTTTGATTTCCAGGGTTTTGTGCAGATGATTTTAAGTTAAACAGTGAAAAACAAGATAAAATGGAATTTAAATATTATAGTTGGGGGAGGGGTTAAAGCTTAAACCTTGTGCAGGTAATACATGAACGATCTCTCACTGTTAGATATTTGTATCTAGATTTTAGGGTTATTGATAGGTCATGTTTAAATTGCATTTCTGTTTTTTTAACTTTTTCGTTGGTTTTACCGGTTTTTGTAAATACTCGTGTTATGTGATTCAACGTATGACTTTCAGAGGAATAAATAAGATAATAATATGCTCCTCCCATTTTCTGTGAAATGCAAATTTAACCTTTTTTTTCAGTTTCAGAACGTTTTTCATGAGATGTTTTCGAGCCGATCAACATGTTTATTGTATGCAAATTGTATACAACTTGTGCTTCAACATCAAGTTCAGGAATGAGACAATGAGTTTAATTTTTTGGTTTTGAAAATAATTAATTGCATGAGAAGCGAAATTAATAAGTTGAAAATTGAATCCAAATACTCATTTCAAGTTCAAATGATATAATTAATCATTAATGGGAGAGGTTAAAAGCAAATTTGGGGGAGGAAGAGTCAAAACTAAAAATGGTCAATAAGTAGATTGTAGATCCAACCAGTGCACAGTGTAAAACTGAAAAGTCGACTGCACTGCGATAGATTTTGAAATAAAATATCACTGTTCAGTATAAAGGCTAACTCCTTAACCTAGTTTCTAATTCTACCTTGATTGGGTGATACATAATTCGATAGCTGATAACAATTGGATTGTCAGTTGCGTCCTTTTAGAAATAATAAGATACATAATTCAAGAATCTTTGTTTCCAAATTTTGCGGACGTATAAGTAATTTAAGGTACGTAAGTGGACCTTTACCGATTGTTGAAATTCGTCATCTATAGCGTCATCTAGCGTGAAATGACGCTAGATGACGCTAAATATCGAATTTCAACAATCGGTAAAGATAGCGACAATGTCGCCAATTGCGTGGCACCTTTTCAATTTCAATTGTCAATGTCGCGATCTAGCGTCATCTAGCGACAGCTACCCCTGTAACTCTTTCTTTGGCTTTGCAGCAGTTTCCATTTTAGCAGCATTCTTAGACCTATAGCTCGTTTCTCTGCCTCTAATCCAACAGCAACTTTCTTACAGCAGCTTTTATTCCAGCAAATTTCTTTACAGCAGCTTTCTTTACAGCAACTTTCTTTACAGCAGCTTTCTTTACAGCAGCTTTCATTTCAGCAACTTTCTTAACAGCAGCTTTCTTTACATCAACTTTATTTACAGCAGCTTTCTTTACAGCAGCTTTCTTTTCAGCAGCTTTCTTTTCAGCAGGTTTATTTTCAGCAGGTTCAATTGCAATTTTCTGTTTAGGTTGAACATGTATTGGACTGGACTGGACTGCTATCAGAAGGCAGACAAGAACTGAGATAACAAACTTCATCTTAATTCGCTGTGTGAAATAATTTAGTTAATGTTAGGGTAACTGTTCTACAATGTGAACAGTCGGTACTCTAGTCGACACTTTCACAACTGAATGATCAGCATCAAGGGTCGACCGGTTAAGAGGACAATTCCTCGGTTTGCCTCGGCCTCGGTTAAAAATTAAGTTGCTATTCCTCGGCCTCGGCGAAATTTTGAAGATTTTAAGGGTCGACCGAGTCCTCGGCCTCGGCCTCGGTCAGGAGGACAATTCCTCGCACCTCGGTTTGCATCGGCCTCGGTTTTATCAAAGCAAAATTTCTTCGGCCTCGGTCGCAAATCCTGCCCTCTGTCGACCCTTGATCAGCAACCATAAGTTTAGCAGTCAGAACATCAACAATTACAGTCACACACAAATGTAAAGTTCAGGGAAAATATTAATGCATCTGACAAATTCGAAAACAGTACTTCAGATTTGTATCCTCGACGCTAAACGGCCCTTTTATTAAATCGAACAATTTAAAATGGCATGCCATGCATAGCGCACAAGATTATTCTCAATTTTCTTGTTGTGTTCCACAAGTATGATTTGCAGATCTTCGCTTTTTCTGATTCCTGATTGGATGAACACTGCATCGAAGAGAATTCATTTTGTTTTAAAAGTTTCATTCAGCACGATAAATTTCTCACTTGCACACCAATTCATGCTTGATTATTCAGAACGGGCAGTGATGATCACGCGATTCCAGATTCGGATTAAGTTTAACTGATCACGCGATTAACTGATCACTCGATTACCAAAAAATCACGTACTGATCGCTGTTAATTTAACAAAGATCAGTACGTGATTTTTTGTTACTATGCATTAAATTGTTCAAACTTGCAAAAGAGCTTCTGAAGGTTTAAAGAAAAATGACGCGCTTTATCAAGAGATGGATCAGTTAAAGCTTTAACTGTTTAAAGCAATATATACGTTATTAAACATATATCAAATTTCTTTTTTACCCTCCCAGAATAATAAAAATTTGACAATATTTTAATCCAAATTCCACTCAATTTCACTCTGTTAGTGAAAAAAATTAGAAATTGATCGAAATCTGGCTATGATAGTTTTAGTAAGTAGTTTAGAAAGTGCTTGGCCGGATATCATAACAATGATTTCGGCTCACCATGATAATTGATATCATGATCAGGGTAGCAGGAAACATAGATAAAAGTGTTTGCTAGGGAAATAAGTCGGGGGGGGGGGGGGGGGGGGGGGGTCAGGCCATGATTACGTTATATTGCTGTCAGGTGAACGACCACTAAGGAATGAAAAGATTCCGACGAAAAAGATCGATGTTTCCGCTCGAGTTTCCGATGACATCGCTCTCAACGTCACTTTCCTCGCTCTTCTCGTCACTTTCCTCGCTCTTCTCGTCCTGCACTATAAAAAAGTAACTGCACCCGTCATCCTCGCACACTTCTAGTTCTAAACGACAGGTAAAATCGGTCAATTCTACACCCGAGAAGTAATACGCCCCCTGAGTTACCTGAGGACCCCAGGCTATTATGTTCATAAACACGAATAAAGATTCGGCGGAATGACAGGCTGAGCGCCGCCCAGTAAAGCCTGTTATTTCGCCGCAACTTCAAACAAATCGACAATGATAATAAAAAATATGATTATGAATCAATTATTTGACCAAAACCCAGTGTCTCTCTTTCCCAAACAAAAGAAAATGATATTAATGTGAATAACCGTCGGGTATTCAAATTAATATCATTTCCTTTTGTTTGGAAAAGAGAGACACTGGGTTTTGGTCAAATTAACCGTCCGCAAATGCAAAATGATACCAATAATGAAATCGGTCGCTCGCTTTTCCCATTCATTCACGGCTTACGGATTTTTAATAAGTTTCGATTAATTACATCAATCACATGCTGTAAACGTCTCTTTGGGTTGCTTTCAGGTCGATATCTAGTTTGAAGTATTTCGGGATAAGGGTGGTAGTGAGTGTCCAATTAGCTGATGTTTATTGAATCTTTATTGCCGAGTACAGCTGCCTTCGGGTAGTTCTTCTTAATTTTTGAAAGTGATGAGGCTAATTCGTTAGCCTCAATTGTCCCTCGCAGTTTAATCACTCCTACTGAGTCTATCGATTTTCTATACGCATACCAAAAATCAAATGCGTAACTAGAACAGAAATGAAATTACAGAAGTTTTAAATTTTTTGTCAAAAAACGAACTTTTAGGGGTGTTTCTAATGACCAGGGTCTACAGTTTTATATGAATGAGAAAAGCGAGCGACCAATTTCATTCTCGGTATCATTTTGCATTTGTGGACGGTTATTCAAATTAATATCATTTCCTTTTGTTTGGGAAAGAGAGATACTGGCAACGGTCCACTCTACCCATGATTATGGGTTTTGGTCAAATAATTGATATCATTTTGAAAAATTGAAGAGCACTGGACATTTAGGTACTTGCAGAGTTCTTAAACATTAAACTCAAAGTGCCGCAACATCACACTTCCTGGCAGAAATCCAAGAAATTACAGCCACGTTAAACCAAACCAAGTGTAGCTACTGATAACAATAGAATTAGCGAGCTGTTGACCGAACGGAAGCAGCGATCATGTGATAATGGATGCTATTAGCCTGGCCCTGTGAGGCTCCTCCTGGGTTTGGAACCGCCCTAACTCGGACTAGTACATTGCTCTGTAGGTGTACAAGGTGCCGATTAACATGAACCCCTAATTTTTTATGGGTTGTATTCTAGGGATTGAACTGCACGTCCAGTTTTATTGTATAGCATAGATTTAGGTTCAGTGACACTAATATAAATAGTAGCAATAAGCCCTTTTGTAGCCTATCGACAGTACTACACGATTAATTTGCAGTCGATTAAGACAATCCCACACCTAACATGAGGCCTGAAAGCTCATTAGCAGTTAACAATAAGGCATTAAATGCACCTAAATTGCGGTTTGCAGCTCAGGAAATAGATGGGTATAATTGCCGCACTGTGGCCTGTAGACTGACTCACGTCATCATGCGATACGAGTTACCCATTGTTTTTCCGATATGACTGCAGTACAATGTGTCCAACGCAGTCGTAACGCGGCGCTGAATCACGTGACATGCAGATGCGCGGCTTATTGGTGCACACGGTCACGTGACGACCTCCCCAGACAGCTATTGGTAGAATACCGACCCTATCTGCACGAGCCAACTTTGAAAGCAACATACCACAAAAGTGCTCTCATATTCGTATCAGTTAGTTAGCATTCAGTTCAATTCGATGAGTCTTGATTTAGCCCGAAAGATGCTCCGACAAGAAAAAGATTACCTTAGCGAGATCATGAACTACGCAGCGAAAGCCAGGTTACCTCGACCCAGTGCAACTCATTCCCGGTCATTCTCCATTGAGGACATCCTCCTGAAAGGAAGCTCCCCAGCCCCGTCAGATAAACCCGCCCCTGTTGAATTTGATGCTGCTACCTTGGCATCCTACCTTCCCCTCTCCATGCCTCCTCACTACGCTGCTGCCTCGGCTCTTCCAGCTTATGCTTGTAAGTTTTGTTTTCAAACTTTTCTTTGATAACAAGGATCCTGAATATTCATTATTCATTGTGATATTTATAAGTAGTATCTGATTTTGCTAATCAGTTTAGGTGTTCATTTACATATTATCTGCAATCTGCATAATGCATATATAATTGTGCACGTGTTGATTATAGAACTCATTTGTGATAAAGGAGCTTCATGACTTTTGTCAAATTCAAGGTTCTATTTGATTCAAAGACAACAGTGCTTTTGTGTTTAATAAAGCATGGAATTGCTTTTATAATCAATAAATTCGTAAAAACTTCAAGAAATGGTATTATGAACATGAATATGAGTATTAGTGCAGAGCAGAATTACCATTTTCAGTATGAGTACTAATTTATTGCCATAAAATTTAGAGTGTCACCATGTTCAAGCACAGTAGAAGTTTAACCCCGATAGTGATTTAACATTATTGTTGGGTTAAATAAAATCGTGCAGAGTATAGTATATTCTGCATAATATAGTATTATATTCAATATACTATTTAGGGATAGATAGTGGTAAACAAGGACCAGTTCCAGTACAATCCTTGAGTGCTTAAATACGATATTAATAGTGGGTTAAGTGTTATGGCACAGAAAGATTTCATAATCCACTTTCGATGATATTGACAAAGTTCCAAATTGCCAGACACGGCCTTTAACAATATATCGGTGAACGTCATCTCAACCCTAGAATTAAAGGCATTTCACTCTCTGATGGCGGTACAACCTTTCAGATTGTATAAAACTACAATTTGTTTGACCCTGAATACTATCCTTAACCCCAGTAGGAGTAAAGACCTAGATCTAATAATGCCTCTAAAGTAAATACCTATAGTAAATGCCTCTAAAGTAAATAGCTCCAAAGTAAAACTGGTTCAAATACTTAAAAACTAAAAAAATCAAAGAATGAACAACGTCGGGTTTCACAACCGGACTTCTTTTGAACTTTCATTTAGTATAATTGTCAATGACAGTAGACAGTGCTGTCTACTACGCCTGAATATTGAATTTGTTTGCCTATTTGTTAGGTAATAAAAAATCCAATCTTCAGGCGTGGCTGCACTTGTAAATGTTAAGTCAAATTTGTAAGTGTGCAGTTAAAGTTTTACGACATTTGCACACCCTAAAAATGATTTTTCAAGACATCACATGATACTTTATAGCGAGTCTAGGTGAAATTTTAATAATGGAGTAAGGGAAGAAATGTTGTAACAGAGTAACAAGTCCGTATGCCGTAGGGTCCAAGTAAAGGGTACTGTGTCGTCATTGAAGTGGAAGTGGGTGTGGGGTATACATTTTCTATTAACTATTTGAGCGGGACTGAAATTTTGTAGGGAGTACGGAACGAAGTAAATGTGTCCTTCTGACTTTCTGAAGGTAATAAGGAAAGTGAAACAGGAGAAAAACAGCTCAATTTCACGAGCTCTGGTATACGCGGTAAAGCACATAACTAGTAACCACCGTGCTATGAAGTTTCACACCCTTCACTTTCACGCTCAATTTTAGATAACAATAACCACCATGGAAAACTTGTGGATTATATCTAGCTCTCAATTACTGGCAACTAACTAAACTGGCATTAAATGACATAATGAGCGTACATGCGATCAGTTCACAACAAGATCAGGTCTAGGTAACAGCACCAGACCAGTTGTAGACCACTTCATTTATCAGTACCTCTTTTCAATTCTTGCGGTGAAAAAAATGCTTATTTCGACATACCGATCATTTTAATTCCCTGAAGACATTATCATTAATATCAGGCATTATCGGCCACTGGTCAGTCTGAACTTTTCATTAGATTTAATTACTAACGACCTGTTTGGACGTTTGGAAGTGGCAACGTCTATTGAAGAGCAAAAAGTGAACATTCTAGACATATGTGAGGCCGAACACATGGACCGGACAAAGATATGAGTTTGTTTAATAATGGCTAATGCAGCAGACCAGCAGTGCCTGGTCCATGCTCTGGGAAAAGACGGCGGATTCAACTCTTGAGTTGATCGATTATAAATAATATCCGGAGTCCTCATTAAGGAGACAAAAACATTGTTCAGCCGGGGTATGATCATCAAGTGATCACATAATTTCGTGAGATCGTGGCAGATGGTTTGGGATTATGGATATTATCAAATCTTCTTGCAGCTCATTCAATGAATGATAAATGACTGTTGCACTGCCACATTCATTTAAATGTCTTTAATCTCGCGGAGCCTCTTAGGGTAGGGGATTTGAAAAAATGATGTGCAATGTTGGTTTTGCTGAGAGTGAGATGGGTTTCTATTGTCCGGGTACGTGATGGCTAAGCACTAGGTTCTCTTAGGGCGGGCCTTTGAATCCCATTTTCTAAAGCACTATAATTCCTGAATCACAGTTAAAAACCTTAATCTTGTCTGCTCTATAATAGTGGAGCTAGACCCGGAAAGCCAGCAGGAAGTTAGGTTTCTTGCTGGGCGGAGTCCCTTGCCCTAAATTCCGTTGTTCCGGTGAAAAAATCGTCTAAGGGAGTCCGTGAATATTCATATTCATAACAAGACTTTCGGCGAACGCGTGCCAAAATAAGCATAACAACGGGGCTTGCTTGACCGGGACAATAGAATTAAATAGCGACCCACGCGGCGATTGTTTCAAATTTACCGACTTTCAAAACACTATTATATTTTAATTCCCTGTTCATTGTATTGGCAAAGGTGTAGTAAAAGTGTCCCAGATTTAAAGGTCAGCCGCTAATGATCGGATGAAAAGGTGGGGTTGGAGACCAGTGCTGGAGTGCTTTAAATGAAAAATTCTCGGATCTGAGGCGTGATCAACTGAATATTTAAGAGGGTAGGAGTACCGAATAATTGGTGAAATAAAGGAGTCGTTGGGCACCTCCTTCTGATCAATTGAAACTCTGAAAAGTACCCAATTAGTGCGAACAGAGGTCCCACTCTGAAAACAATAGAATTTAGTTGAGATCCTGCCCGCACACCTAAGTCCTGCTGACCTGCTACTCACGGCCAAAGAATTGATCACGCACTTCTCGTGAAACCCATGCTAAATTAGCAAACCCTACGTCTAGCAAGTTGCAGTATTATACAAGAGAAATATGTCTAGTATTCTCAGAATTTCTCAGTCAAGTTGTACAAGTACCGAGAATTGTGGTACTCATGTGAATTGAGATGCTTCGCCTTTGAGAAGAATACGATTCTTATTATTCGGAATCCCAGCCTTTATCTATTATAATCTCTGAATCAGTCATATTGTAAAGTTTAGACATTTGCCTACGAATTGGCCAATTTTCTTATAATACATGTATTAACCAGGTGATAATTTGGTTACCTTAATGTAAAATTAGTAACGATGACAGACTTGAAACACTTTTACCCAATCAGGGTTCCAAATTTCCAATTAACAAACAAATTTCCCAATCAAGACAACAATTCCACCCAATAAATCACACCACGTGGCAGAAACAATGGCCTTGATTGACCCGGATCTGGACTGAGTAATTAAAACCAATAGCCCAACCCCACTAGTAGCCCACTCCAACCGGTCAATGTCAAATTGTAGGATTGACATCCGGACCCCTATTGTTCAGAAGACCAACAATCGATTGCTAACAGCAAATCACTGATTCACAATCACACCAGCGTTTACCATATTGTTGCAAATTAAATGCACTACATTTCGGAAATTGGACCTCCAATCTTTTGTTTGAGAATCTCTTTGTTCAAACTGAATTTCTATTCACTTGATGCGTGAAAGTTGGGAGTGGAGGGATTGGTCGTGGGCCTGTCACATGGTCCCGTTATTGTTAATAATCGAGTTGTCACAGAGAGAAAGAGAATCAGAGAAGTTGTCATGAAGATAGTTAAGGAGATTAGGGGTGTGATTTGCACGTGGTCTGAATTAACCACATATTAATTGTCACATGTAAATCACTAGACAGTAGTCACTCTAGCATTCTAACATTCTAACCACACAATTTGTTTCAGATACCCCAGCCCTACTCCTCTCCTCAGCTCTAAGATATGACTACGCTCTCAGACATCTCCGCAGACGCAAAGCTAGAACCGTATTCAGGTAAATAGTTACCATAGTTACCAGACCATACTAAGCAGAGTGTACGTGAAACACATTAAACCAGACATTAGATAGTAGACGGTCATAGTTATTCAAACGAGAACTTTTGTTACTTTCGACTTTCCATAGTTATTAGACCATACTTTATACTTACTTAAAGCCGATTGTACTTATTTTGAGACCAGTTTAAAATCTGTATAGAGCTAGACAATGACACGGGGCAATAAACGGCTACAGTTATTCAAACAATGGCATTTTGGGTTTCGACTTTCGATGGTTGCACCATAACACCATTATTACACATGCTAAAACTCATAAAGTCAAGTTTAAGCAGACTGTTAACCCAGTAATATTTACAGTGACATGCAGTTGGAGGGACTGGAGCGCAAGTTCCGCAATCAGAAGTATCTGAGTGTACCAGAAAGGTTGGACATTGCCACCGGACTCGGACTCAGTGAAACACAAGTCAAGACTTGGTTCCAAAATAGACGGTAAATAAAAACTCTTTCAATTACTGAAATCGAATGATTTGGCAAGCCAATGATACGAAAGATTTCTCTGGTATACACTGAGAATTCTTTAGCTGACTAGAAGTAGAGTTGATCCCTAACAAGATTGTCACCCGCAGAATGAAGTGGAAGAAACAAGTTTTGGAAGAGGAGAGAGTAAGAAAGATGAGATCCAGGGAGACATCCTCAGAACAAAGTTCCACAGGTACGTACTACGTAGTGAGATTGAACAAACTCATTTTCAAACAAGTTTACTTAGGCTCACGTTGCAAGCTCACTGCAGTCACTATCAGTTAAAATACTGTTTAAATTGATAACTAACATCTTACTCCCCCAGGAGGACTAGTCGGAGATCAGGAAATTGGATCCTCCGGACGTTGTACTCCCCAACTCTCCTCACCCATCTCCCCCTCTCCCAGCCTCCCGGACTTCGACAAACTAAACGCCAAACGAGTGTTTGCTGAGCGAGCCTACGTAGCTGATCACCAGAAAGCAGAACCCCAGTCACCTATGGAGTTCTCAGCTAGCACCAGAATGGCACTGACGGAGACCCCCACCAGTGCAGGAATGCTCTCCATACCCAACCTCAGGCCATTCCAGTTAACCAAAAACTAACACTATTAGTATTGCTATATTATCAGAGACAGAAAGATACTGACGATTTTAATATATTATTGAAGACAGCCGATTTTGAATGGTGTGGATCATCAAGATTTTATTGAAAGATATATAATATCGATGCTTTAATTTTGAATTTTTCAAATATGTTTGAGCAAATAGTTTGCTTTTTAGTTTGTGGGTTTTTGAATTTGCAGTTTGTGTGTTGTTTTGCTTTGAGTGGCAGAACTAAAACTAATTTCTTTTTGAATATATTGCATATCTTAATCAAATTAAAATGCTATTCAGATTAATTACCAGTGAAAGTTTCTTGTTTACTTTGTGCTTCACGATACATCATACATCTGTTCAAACGTATAATCACTGGCTGAAAACATAATTTTCAAATGACCATCGTTGGACTTGCAGCTAGGCTCAGAAATTTGGAATTGTCACAAATGAGCGAAAGTGATCGAGAATTAGATGAGAATCTTTGGGCATTAGTGTAGATTTTGTTGTAGATTGTTTGAGTTAGTTTGAGTTGCAGTTCAGGCCGCCGGATAATCACCGGTCCCGCACCACAGGTCTTCTTTGTTTATCCAGCTTCCTGCAAAATCACATCTTACACTAATACGAAATTAACTTAGTAATGCGAAACTAACTTAATAAAATATCTTGCATATCAGAACTTTTCCATGGTACATCGTTCCGGAGAATAAATAATAGCACAAGCCAGACGCAGTAACTAAAATCTATATAAAACTCATCATTGCATTTTTTTCATTCATGAAACCGTACTTTTGTTGCACGCCCATATCCTCCCTAAGACATATTATCACCAATTCCGAATTAAACTTAACAATTCTAACAATTGCTAACAACAAATGCTAACAATTCTGACCTAAATGTCGTTAGAAATAACAAGGTCCCATCCACCTTTAGCGTACAGGTCGGGGTTTTCCAGGAGACCTGGATTCCAGATGTTCTCGGGAGGTGTCACACGTCGTTTGTGGAGACACTTGATGATCAGGATGTGGAGATCTACAATCACAAGGAGGAGCAGGGCCACCAGGTATACCCAGAAACACACGAAAAATATGTAATCTGAAATGGGTTACTGTCAAGCTAAAACGTAGCTGGGACACCAGAATTAACAGTTAGGTAAAATATTGGCTGCCATCATTTCAAGAAATAATGTAAATACATCTGGCCCACTGATTGATAATGATATCTTTGTGAATTTAGAATACCTTAGTACACAATATTTATACATCACAATATTTATACGAATTTCGATTTTTCGTATAAAATTTATGTCGTATAAAATTTATGGGTTATAAATTTTGTGTCGTATAAATTTTCAAATGATTTATGATGGGAAGACTGCTAGATCGAGACCCGATCCCGCTCTTTTGCCAGATGGATTCTTACTGTGTGGCAACTCGTCTCACTGGTCCAATGCTGAGGAAACGATCAATTTACTTAACAACGTTATCAAGCCGTATGTTGATCAAGTTATCAAGAAACTATAAGGACTCCCAGAAAATCAAAAGGCACTCTTAATATGGGATGATTTCCGTGGTCATACTGCATCTAATGTACAGAACCTATTGCCATCATTGAATATAGTTGCTAGTGATGTACCTAAGAACCTCACCCATTTGCTTTCTCCTCATGATCTGACGGTAAACCGTACATTGAAACGAATCGAGCAAGATGACAGCGCAGAATATATCAGTGCTGAGATTACTAGATGTCTTCAGGAAAGCCTATTCTACGAAATTTGCACGCAAAGACTATCACGAAAGCGTTTGCTTACTTTCAGGGACCAGAAGGCAAACAAAACATTCTGCAAGGGTGGAAAGCTGCAGGAATTTGGAAAGCAGTAAAATCATTAAGAGACGCACAGAACATAATGGACACTAATGGCTTAGTGGATCCGTTTTCTCGTCTTACACTGATTGATTAATTTCTATATTTCTATTTTCTAGTCACTAAACGGATTTTTTTCTGTTCTTTGGGAGATTGATGCAATCGTATAAAATTAATGCCGTATAAAAAATATCCGTACAAAACTCGTGACGTACAAATATTCTGTACTAAGGTAGATGATATAACTCACTCGCGCTGCTGTAGTAAAGCATGTGGACTACGATGTAAACGATCAGGTTGGCAAACACTATTGGTACCTCCATGAAGGTGAAGAAGTCGAAGAACTGGGGAAAAAATGTGCCTCCTGAAAAGTATTTTTTCAAAATCATGTCGTCACAATTTCGCACAATGAATTTTTCGTTCCATTATATCTTTGAATTGCTCTCAAATCTGAAGATAATGGCACTTTGAGCCATCTCATTAAAACCATTAATCTTGCTATAATCTGAGAAAAATAATGCAAAACTACAATTTCTTTCTTTTCCCACGGGATTATAAATTTTTACCGATAATGGAATAGTAAAAATAAACTCACGGTTTCTGAGGATGATGAAAGTTTTGTATTTGTCCCCATTGATCCTGCCCTTGGCTCCGATATCAAGGGTCAACAAGAGTAAGTTGATTGTGATAACAGCTGGCCCTAGCACAGCCAGAACACCGTTTACTATCACTAGTGCTTTACTGACTTCAAGTGTGGTGGTTGCTGAGAAGTGGGGTGTTGTTAGACATGGAAATTCAGGACTTTATGAGCTTAGGGTGGAGAAAGTGGCCAGCTCTGAACCGCTAAAATTTGCTCAGTTAAAAAACCTTCGTTACCTTTTAAAACGTTGAGTTGTCTCCCTCCCAAAAAAACGGACCTCAATAACGAATGAAAGGTGGACTGAAAGATCACCCTCGTTCCTACTTACCATCAAAAGTAGTAGTGCAGATAGCTCTCATGCAGGTGTGATACAGACCGACTCTGGTACCCGTGACACTGTCATAACTCCAGCCGGGCATGGCCCCAGCCAGGACTGTCATGAGCAGAGCCACAGCCCTGGCAAACTGCCACCAGACATAACGTCCTCCGTATATCACTCCGCAAGATGTCAATATTGCCATCACATCACCTGGGGAGTGGAGCTACCAAGGTTAGGAGGTTTTGTTCTTGAGCTGGTGGGCGCCAGTTTAAGAAAAACTTTGTTACATCAATGTAGCGAACTTTCAGAATTTTGGGTATTTCCATGCCATTGAGCCTTAATTTCTGATTACCCGAGCTATTTAGATTTAAAACTTTGTATTGTTGTTTTGAAGAAGCTAATTATTGTGGTATTTAAATTTAATTTTAAGAATCTTAATTATGAAGATCTATAAATTCTGATGGCATTTTTCTCATAACTCTGAGTCAGACGCCAGCCAGTTTTACAAGCTGGGTGCGACCGAAATAACGTCGAGTAAAGTTGGCCTGGGATTCAAGATCGTTTTAGACACCTGACAATAGATTTGATGGGTAAATAATAGAAATAAATTCTTTGCCACCAAATCTTTTTCTTTTCTCCCAGGTGAATCTTCGGAATTCTGTCTAATGAATAGATGGAGAATCCATTGTACAAACGGTTACACAGTTTTCTAAAGGAGCTCGAGCTTCTCACGGCAATTTGAGTAGATTAGACGTTAGTCAATGATTTAGGGTATAATTCCAAGGAATGCGTTGCCACGTGTTTGTGATTTGTTCGCCCATCTCTCTCCAAACAATGAAAGCTCCTCCATTAAACGAACCATTGAAATACAGCATTTCGCTCCATTCAAAGCTATTATTCCATTTCAAAACGAACTATAGACGACGGTCAGATAATCGATGGTTCTCTTTATGCCTGAGAATGGAGGATAAACAGGAATGTGATATGACCCACCCTCTCATGCTGGTGACCAACCTACACCAATCAGTTTCCATGACAGCCATCACGGGAAGATTGGCAAGTCACGTGAGCGATATATTACAAAGAGGGAAATGCGTTGAGCCATTAATTAGCCTCGTTATTCAGGGGCCGGACACGTGTGTGTTTGAAGTTGCAGGCCCCCGGGGTCAGTCCCCCATCACTCTGTGGGTTTTCGCAGCTTTGTATCGACCAGGCACGTGCCAAGCAGAATTAATCGTACTGACTCCCTTAATTGCAATACTGGGGATCTCGTCAACGATTAACACATTACCGACCACTTATGATATATAATTAGTCGCTTTTATGGTATATCTCAAGTCTGCACGATATGTTGAATCTTGAGATTTGTATGTGATCTTTCTCTCTGTCGCTAAGAAGATAAACAGTGAGCGATCTACAAGCAAAACAGCTGCAAACGTGTAGTCAAGAAGAGGAAAATGGCCAGTTAAAAACTGAGTTTGTCGAGCTGTGTTGTTAAGAGACATACTGGATATGATTGGTGGTGTTGGAGCGCTGCTTGTTATGCAGCTCAGCAGCTGCTTGTTATTTTGCAATTGCTGACGCGCATAGTAGCTTGTTCTACTAATACATTCACTCACTTTTTCAATTACAATTTGAATTGCTTTCATTACAATTGCCGATTAGAATGTTCACTGTACATAACACACAATACACATCACACAAGGATCAATAATATACATTAATACAGCCCCATGGTGTAATCCAACAGGAAATAGATGGAGAAAATGTACTAGTCACCTTGGAAATGTAAATACAAAACGCGGGTTTAAAGTTTTACAAAACTCAAAGAATTCGGAAACGTCAGAAACTCTCGTCTGCAGTACTGATCGCGTCAGTAGATCGCGTCAGTAGATTGCGTCAGTCGTGGTAGAAATTATAGCGCAGAATTGACGTTTTGCGACGTCAAACAGCACAACATTTTTCTTAATAATAACCGATAACTATAACTATAAGTAATGGCATCGTATAGGATGAAAAAGTGCACTCCAAATCATGTCCATGAAAATGTCAGTTCATTTTCTTTTAGAGTTTGGATCAAGAACACTTGCTTTTTTCACAGTCATACTGCGAATCTCGCCCCACTAATCACGAGATCTTATCCCACTTTCACTTTCATATCAACTTTCACTTTCACCTCTTCTTTCAATTTCACTCTCACTTTCACTATGACATTCTAACTTGTTGGGAGAAGTCTAGAAGTGACGATTTTGCTTCTCATCGTGGTTTATGGACTTTATTGGAGAGTTTGCCAATAACTCTGATAAGGGAGGCGTTCTCCTTGGTAAACTTGTCGTTTTCCGCTTGTGTGGTGGTCATTTTCTGAAAAAGTTACACGGTAAAATTGATTTCTAGCATTAAATTCATAGGGTGGGAACTGTTTTTATTTCTAAATTGACGAATGACGATGTGGTTGATTTGAGATGATCTCTTCACAGAAATGAGAGATAGAAATGAGACTCTCATTGAGAGATGGAAGGAAATGGCTTACATCACAGTTAGTAGACAATGAAAGCGGCCTACTATTTTCAATCATCCTTTCAATTCGCCAGAAATGAGATACAATGCCCTCCTCAAAAGTTCCCACAGTTTAAGCATCGCCAATTAAGAAGTATAATCGTTTGATTGTTGCAAGTAGCGCTTTGGCATTTCTTTTGTTCATTCTTTTTACTTTCCTTAAGAACTAAATGACTCTCCAACCCAGGTGTTAATGTATAATGGATAATAATGAGGGCATTATAACTCAGTTGGTGGAAAGATTTAATGAATGATAAGTCAAGTGGATGAACCAAACGCAAGGCTTGGTGTTGAGGTAATATTTTGGTTGGACGGCTCAAAAACAATCATTTTTGGTATTCGTCTGAGTGATGTCAGACTGTGAGCCAACACAACAGACTCAAATATTTGAATAATAAATTCAATGAACTCAGATAAGTATCCGTGATATGGTCTAGATTTTATCAGCCAAGTCTCCCAAGTCCCTAGCTTATTTAGACCAGAGAATAGACTTTACTACTAATGAGGTGGTGGAATTTTTCTTTTAAAACCAGGGATTAACGAATTTTATTGGTCGTCGCTTTGAGCTGAATGGTAGTTATACTTTATTGATGCCATTTGTCAAAAAAATACATTCTTTCTCCTGCCACTTCGTCTACTTTATAACCACGCCTTACTTTTACTTTCATGCGCCCCATCATGGAATTCAAATTCCTTTAACAAATACCAAACTGTTGTGAATGACCATATCGTCTCATGCAAATCATACTTCACCGACTCCATTCATTCATGATTATTTTCTTACCCACGGATAAATAACTTTCACAGATTTAGAATTAAAATACCGACGTTCCTTGGAGAGACCCGTGGTAAAATAATTGAATTGAAAACAAACAAATAAAAGATAACAACAATACAATACATCTAGTTATCTTGACTATAGAGTGATTTAATAAGGTTGGGAGATTGGAATTATAAAGATTTGAAATAATGAGTGATAGAAATATGTTGCGCGATTTGAGCAATAGCGAAAATGAGTGACATCACATTCCTTCAGGTATATGTTTAGTGGGGGAAACCAAGTTTTGATGAAATCGAGCGATGGAAAATTGAGTGTTAATAGACCTCGAATATTGGGCTGCAGGTATAAGATGCAAAAATTGAACTAATATGAAGTTGTCTTTTTTGGTGTAGTATATATTAAATCAAGGGATTTCTCAAATAATTCTAATTTATAACGAACCTCAATATCCCTCTCCAATTGGGTAAGAGTGCTGGCAAGTCTCTGCTGGGTCTTATCAAGAGCTCTTATATTCAGATCCTTCCTCCTCAACTCTTCTAACCCCTGGATCAACATACAATCGTTCTCCTCGATCTTCCTCCGCATACTCGCTAACTCCTGATAGAGTTCATCATCAGTTAAATGGTTATTTAGTTCAATGTTATAATGATTAATTCATTAATTAACAGATTCATTCAGTCAATTAGTTGGTCCGGATCGATCTAAACTCTGCAGATAGTTTCCACAGCTAGCAGCTCATATTCTCAATGTATATTTTATAATCTCTAATCATAAGTTGTAAATATCGACTTAGTAGTTAGTATGTACGTCACGATCTTTCATAAGCTTATGAAAGAGTTTTTTTCTAGAAAAAACTCAACATTTTTTTTATTAACATCAATAACACCGGCTTAAATATTTTCCACCCATGACGATAACTCTTTTTTCAACATCATTGAGCTGTAATTGATGAAGAATTTACCCTTTTCATTGACTAGCCACGCAAGCAATTTCGCATCGTCAATATATGCTTTAAATACCTCTAGACTAAAATGTGACAGGATCGTACCTGTTACAAAATATGTTTGCCTCCCAAGCGGTAGTCTATTATAGACTCGATGATAAGTGTCAATAATGCGATGCTTTAATCTTAAATTAAGCTGTATCTTTTATCCAGATTAACGATTGTTTATTAACAATAGCGACTAATGCATAATGCTTCCAAATTTAACCCGTGGGATGGAAAAAAGATGAGAACTGCATCACTTCAGTATAACTCTATCTATTGGAATACTGTCACGTGTGATTAGTTCAGACAGCCTATGTCGATTGTCGGTCACTTCAATCCACAATCCAGGAAACAATTGGAACACATGATGTCTGTAGAAAATAAGGGCGCATATTTTACAATCATTAGAATATTTGTCCGTTCAAAGTACGTGGAAACTTCCATATTGCTCCAGGATCCAGTGAAAAGCCGCACTTACTTCCATATTTCTGGGATACAAGGAAAACACAAAACATCGGACCAAATATTTCCGGGAAAAAATAAGGCGGACTTATTTTAACACAGGAATTTTTTGACAACTTAACATTATCATTAAGCATATATATCTTAATATACTTAATAATATTAAGTAACAAATTTCAGATTTCAAATTATTTACGGGATAAAACTTCGAATAATTCGGTGTTAAACAGGTCTGGAGTTGACAGTTTGGAGTTTCACAGTACATTCAATCAAAATAACAGTACAGAAACATGAAATTTAGAAACGCTAATTCTAATCCAAACCTTGTTAAGTCTGGCAACTTTGTCAGGTTTAGGACTGGTAGGTGGTTTAGGTTTAGCGGGTACCCGGTAGACCGGTATATCTGGTACGAGAAGCGAGGTGGCACCTGACATTTTGGTCAGAGGGTCCCTTTCTGATTTGGAGGATTTGGGGGTAGAAATGGGGGACAACCCCACCTCATCAACCTTATCTGGAGTATCTAGATCTGCTTCTGTGGGGGTGATCCCTGTCGACCGCCTGTAAGGGGGGAGTGTTAGGTTCATTAAAATTTTAGGAAATACCTTAGACGGCTTTAACTTGGCAGGTTAGTGACTTTAAAAATCGAAGATTGTGGAAAATTCCACATTTCTGATGACAGCAAGAAAATGGTTAAAAAACTCCAAGTTTAGCCGTCACGTACCTTGCTGCTCGGGATCTCCGCCTGACTTTATTGGAAGTAGCTGTGGTTGGGGTGGCGGTGCTGGGTGTGGAGGAACTCTTGTTACTTCGGGGCGTGTCGTAATCACTCCCCGACTCCCCTGAGTGGGCTCCTGGTTCTCAACAGGTCTATAATTAGGTTTTTTGCGGAAAAATATTAATTAATTAAGTAATTAAAACTGAAAGTTTTTGTAGTAGAGTCCCATGATCGTGATTTCCATCTTTACATTTAAAATCTTAGCTTCTTCTAATATGGTCTCAGATTTAAAGCAAAACTTTACAATCAACAGAAGCCGTAGTTGTGACTTGTGATTTAATGAATTATTTCATTTTTCAGAGCAGTTTCTGCCAGAATGCAGGACGCACTGTAACAGAACGCAACCCTTGGCGGCACTCCCGAATTCATCACTCCTATAGTTCAACATACTCGATTGACGTTTAACGTAGAGCTACGTGCATCCGAAGAAGAATGTCATCGACACAAACCGGCCAGTACATGGATCTAGTGATTTCCTAAAACTTACTGAGGGCGGATGATGCGGACTGCTACTAGGTGGAGGCACGTGCGAAACTAAATAGTGATATAACCGTCCAGTAGTAGGCAGACCCACATTATGAGAGATGTACCTACAATTTGGAAAGACGCGATGTACTAAGAAAATATGCTTTGCCATGTTGACAGGCTTCGGAACGTTCTAGAAGAAAAGGGCAACATAACTGAGATTCTCTGCCCACGCACAAATGTCAAATATTGATACTTTCTTGTAACTTTTCGGCAGATTCAGGGGCGAGAGAGCCCAGTCATGGTCCACCCTTTACAGTCGCAATTAAAAGAGAGCTTCCTATAATTTGATGTGCATGCCGGGGATATAAGCGTTCCAGGCAGTGCCACATTTTTCATACCTATGGTCCATGAGTTCGGCGATAATTTGCTATTGTTGATGGCCAATTTACCAGCTGGTGTGCATATGGTCGATAGACTTAGACATCAAATCAACGGGTTGCATATGAAGAAGGTGCAGTAATTTTTGGTGACGAGAATCGAATGGTGAAAGATTTGCCTAATTTTTAATAGACACAGCGAAAGGTTTTTGAATAAATGTAGACTTGAGACATTGACTTGATAATTCGGAAGAGAGCATTCGTAAACCCCAATCTTCAAACGAAACGATGCGAAACCAAGTAAGATATATCAGGAATCAGGATGTGAATGGAATTTCCCAATTCTGGTTTAGATTATCTTAATTATCAACTAATTATCATTACATTAAAGTACACTCACTTATAATCACAGGAACACCCTTCCCAATGTCCACCTGCAGCTGTACCCTCGGTTTATTAGGCATCTCCAAACCGACAAGTAAAACTCTACACTTAAATATATAACATTAAAAAGATAAATAGTATCACAACATTAAAACAATACTCTAAAAACGGGTGCTGCTGTCCACGCCCCACCGTCAACAGCTACATTTCAAAGTGAACCAGGCAAATTAGCTCACAAATAAGGAGCTGTGAAAGGGAAATAGTTAAGAAATGTAAAACTCACAACAACACTAAAAGTAAACACAACACCGCACCAGGCGGCGGTAGGTTTTAAAAACCTGTTAAACCAAAGTATAAAACTCGCAGGTTTTGCGCTTCACACAAGACAGCATAGCGCACTGAGGAGAGTGTAGTATGCCAGTGTGCAGAAGCCGGCAGTGCAGGGTCTCACTCAGCTGCTGAGAGTCATGTTCGCTACTAGTCAACACGTAGTTTGTAAACTTCGCTTCGACTCGATGACAACCCTCGGCTCTCATATGCTGTCATATAATAATACGAGGTATAGAGAGAGGGAGAGAGAGAGAGAGAGCTTGGTGTACTAACTAACGGATCTCTGGAGCTGGTGAGGTTACCCCCCCCCCCCCCCTCTCTCTCTCCACACCAGGTTAAGTTTAACAGTCCCTGTCAGAGATTAAACTGCAATTACTGGCCCGCGCAGGCATACCTTGGAGCCTGAACATTCTGGAACAGACCTGGTTTCACCGCCTCCCCAAAAGGTATAGACAGCAGGGGATGTGGCAATATAATACTGTCTGTGTAGGAGTTCTCAGGAGGGAAGCCTGCTGTCTCCTCGCTGGGAGGTTTGGAGAGAGCCTGTTAGATTGTCAATTAGAGACCGTGGAAGTACGAGGGAACAATGCCATTCGGTTCACCTCAACTTCATGGTACATTCCTCAAGTAAAGTGTTGAACACGCCGTGGTAAATGTAAAGTGTCGATCACTTATGGATCAAATTTGTCGCTGTCTGAAGATGTGATGACGTTCGTAATTAGTGTTGTGACGTACAGCAGGGAACTTTCAGATGGAGAGCCTCAGCCGTTGCATTATCTATTCCAGAGTTGACTCCTGAGAAACCATATCTGTATTCGCAGATGAGGTAAATATAGGCTGCAACTGACTTTATGAGAAGTTCTTCAGATCGCTAGCTAATGAGTCCTAAGAAATCGTCCATTAGCGAGCCTACAGCGAATATATCGTTAGCGTCAACGCGGGTTCCGATGATTTTGAGTCTGATCTCGTCTTCTTTCTGTACAACTATACCCTCATCCTGGTTTTGATAGCACTCCATATCTGAAAAGGAGGTTAAGATTTTAGTAAGATTTTAATGGTTGCTTTTTAGTAAGATTTTAATGGTTGCTGCATTGTATTTTGCACAATTTTAGGTAAAAGTTTTAAATCATGTCCTACAACTTGTTTACCACCATATGATATCAGTATGAGATCAGTACAACAAATAATAGTTCTGGGCATGACAAGGTCTAATGTATGCCAAGTTATTACAAGATATTATGACAAACCTAATTGAGTGTCATGATAGAAATGGCACAACAAGCTATGTTACACTGAGGCTGAGCAGTGAGTGAGGAGGAGATATTTACCCGGGTTAAAGACCATGTCAGCAGGTATGCTGTGTCGAGATATGAAACACGTTAGAGGTCCAACTTCGCAGAAGATCCCCACTTTGTTAACCTCACGGACAATAGCATCCACTACCTGTAAAACACAGGGACGTCTGGGACATATAACCGAATATTTCACACTTTATGGTACGTTGAAGACGGTCTAAATATTTAGAATTTACAGGGGAGCTTGAAAAGGTCAATTTTATGAATATTGGCGGTATAGGCGGTAGTTTTTATTTCTCGTGATGAGTGTCAAGGTGTATTGGCGGTGTGCCAGTCATAATCTCGTCTAATAACTAAACCGATGCTAATTGCAAACGTACCTCTCCCTTAAAAGGTCTGAAGACGATGGCTTTGTATTTGACGGGGAAGTTGACGGAACCTTGTCCCTGATCTACCACGCCGTTACCAATGTGATCTATCGTAGTCACCGCTACTACGAACCCATACTCTCCTGAAATGTATTAATCAACTGAGCCATTAATTGGTAAATAAAACCGTTCATAAGTCAATGTCTCCCCGAAATTATATATAGTTAACACATTACAGTAGATATTGTTGCTTTTTGCAGAGTACTTTCAATATTAGGTGTGGTCACCCTAAACCAGACATTTTTGTATTTTACAATATTTAACATGACAATAGTATTATATACATGTATTTCAATGATCTCATGTCATTCTTTTTGTCCCTTGTATGCATATTGCATATTGTCCACCTTATCCTAAAATTCTTGGGATCCTCTAAGCTGTAGATCATAACTCAATTTAAAGCCGCAACGATAAAGTTGAACCTCTTTAATAGTTGTAATATTGTCAAAGCATCAACTATGGCTCGTTCTTATACTTATGAGTATTGACCTTGTAGACCTCTTACTTTTAGAACTCTTGTCCAAGCACAGGTGTTGTTGCTTGCAGATCCATTGATAATAATCCTACAAACCGACGATTTGTTCATTTTAAACTCATTGATTGCATAGCATTACATTTAGAATGGGCTTGGCACGTGTTCATTGTTCAATATCTCTAATGAACAGCTTAGATGACTATTTACTTAAATTAAAAATATGTGTATTGTCTTGTAAAGGCGGATTTACAATGGCTTTGTTTAGACTAATAGCAAGCTTTAGATTAATCTCTTTAAATTAATAGCAAGCTTTAGATTAATCTCTTTAAATTAATAGCAAGACCTGGTGTCCTGGTCTTGACACACAACGCACAGACATATATTTATAAATTAAACCAAATTAACATAACTTATGAATTAACACAAATTAACATAACTTAACATCAATTAACATAACTTAACTAACAAAAACACATGATAGATAAAGGAGAGTCATGAGTTAAATGAAGACTTTTAACGAGTTCGGTGCCCTTATCGTGTACTCCTAAATCAACACAATAAACGATCATCCAGAGATTAAGTTATAAATTAAATTAATGGTGAGATAAAATGAGACTCACCCGTGCAGGACCCCTCCACCTCAGTAAACAACTTCTTCTTCACAATGTCGATGAGTCGCGGACCGAAATACTGGGGATGCAGCAGGATCCTGTGTTCCAGGCACATGTGGTAGAACATTTCCGCTAACCTAAAATTTACAAATTGTCAAAGAGCCTCTTGTCAGCAGGTCTTTAACGAAATATTCAGAGTATTCGGAATGTTCCCGAGAGGGTGAAAAACAGCTGATTTTTGTCAGTTCTGACAGGTTTTATGTTGGAGGTGAAACTGAGTGAAGATACGGTGGGATTGTTTAAAATATTTCGGAGTCTACTTTTAGGGTATTTACATAATATTTCTTAACGTTTAACTTCTTTAACTCTCAGAATTATTTATAACTCATGCAAATATCAAGACTGGAAAAATATGTTAAGTTTGTCGTCATCAACACACATGTCAATTTCTGTTATCTAAATCAGAATAATTAACGCAAAAATAAATATCAAATTACAAATTGTTACAATTTAAACTTAATTTAAGAGAATAAAAAATTTCTCACCGACCGTAAGTACAGGGAAATTCTAATTATCTATCAGATGTACTCAGTACTGTTTATACATAGTCATAACTCAAGAGTATTACATTTCTACTCATTTAATTTAAAATTGTACAAACATTGTTTAAGTTAAATCAGAAACATCAATCATTTTGAATTTATCCCAAATGTAAGATTCCAGCCAGTATTAACAGAAAATATGATTGATAAATGATAATGACAAAATTATTAATAGAGAAATCATTTTACCTAATTTTTAATTTAAATTGACCTCAAAAAAATCCAAAGACAAATCACACAGCTACATTAATAACCTACCAAAATCTTCTGTTTACAACCAAAACACTTATCTACAAGATAAGACACAAACGAAAATAGTGCATCACAATCCTGATTCCTGATAAAACCGAATAATCTGAAAACGTTTTCCGGAGACTTCCTCCAATCAAGGAAGCGTGTCTTCCTCCGAGACAGCCTCCCCAGCATCTGAAGCGGGTTCATTACCGTCAGGGTCACTTTCCCCGTGTTCCATGCTAGGGTCCACAAAATGATACGCGTTCTGAAGAGTCTGAAGTCTCCTCGTCTCAACTCTTTCCTCTGTACCTGCGTCCTGTCAGCAAGAGAGGTTAGCAATTAGCAACTAGCAATTAGCAATTAATTAGGTGCTCATTTCTTTAGCTGTTCGTATTTTGAAGATTCTCCATTGCACTGTTGGTCATATGTCCTAAAGTAAAGTAAAGTAACTAAATGGAGGTACATGATATGTTAACATTATGTTAAAACCGCAGATAAAGTTTGGAATGGAGAGTTAAAACTTACCATGAGCCGAAGAACAGTTTCATGTATTTCAGGTGTGTTTCTGTCAGCGTCACTTATCTTCACGTTACCGTCTGCATCACTGCAATATTAGGATTATACATATGGAAAAGCACTCTAAACTTCTGTATAACTGTAGATAACATCGACTATTAGCAAACATAGAATGAGTAAGATAGAGGATTCAGTTTTTATTATACCGGTAAATAACTTTAATTTCTATGGCAGGTTTTTGCTGCAGCTGTTGAGCCTTGTGTTTCCAAGCTTCGACTTGCTGTTGAGTGGACTTGGCTAGCCTGTTTATCGTGCTCTCCAACTGTACGAATTGTAGAGGTAAGTGAGTGACAAGACCACTGTTAATTTGGGAGAGGTTGGAAAAAGTCACATTGCCCAAGTAGTCTAAGTTAACAAAAAGGGCACAAGTATCCCGTCACGAAATGGTGTGATCCAGATGCAGGGAAAAGATTTTTACAATAAATATTATCCTAATTAGATGTGCTCCTCTTAAAATGGGTATAATAATTGTACAAATAAAATACTGGCGCTCAAAGTCGGGGCTATCATTATTGGTTTCTGGCAAACAAAGTCTAGGACATTGCCTAATAATGAGCAAAAAAACGTAATTGGAATGTACTTTCGCAAATTAGGCTTTGTTGAGATAAATCATGACTTAGCTATCAGCTTTGTTAGGGACAAAATCAATAAATCTTGGATGCTGGTACAGTTCAATTATTTATAACTAAGTCTTATATTTTTTGGGCAGCCAGTTTTTTGGATTCCGAATAATGTTTTTTCGGGTTTTTTAATTTTTACTTAGTCGCTCCTTTCTGCCTGGTAAATTTCATTTGGTATTGCTAGCAGGGAAATTAATGTCATTGTCATGTATAATTACCTCTTCAGATTGAAAAATATTGCTCAGATCATCGTCTGATATATTATCCAGGTTGATATCGGCTAACTCAGGGTTCTTGATGTTTCCTCTGTCATTTAGCTCTGAGAAATCATCCAAATAATAACCATCAACTAACAGTTGAACCGTGATTACAGTTTATGAAATAGAAATGCATGAAGCTGGGTCATCGATGATTAAAATAACATAACAATGCTTACTTTTAAGTTTGTTAATATCGCTTTTCATTTCGTTCACAGCTGATTTAAACATTTTCTTGAGGGCTCTGAGCGGTGCCTGTTTCTCCTCGTCAGCTACATCCTCCAGGTAGTTTTTAAGTGAGTAATTGTCAGATGTGGGATTATTACCCACCCACGAAGGTGCCAGTAAAGGTTTTGCTATTTTTGGTCGCCGCTCTGAGGGAATTTCTGCTGTTATTTTCCACTTTTTACTTATATCTTTTTAATCAGGCGTACAATTTTGTAAATTTTGTATCATTTAGCGATCTGCCACTACAGTGAACTAGTGAACTGTTATAATATATAATACTAAAGAGTAAAGATGAACCTTGCTTTTCAGGAGTTTTCACTGAGCTGACGATAGGGCTACAAGATATTCTGTGTTTGACAGCGGTGTGTCCTGGCATGAAGAAGTCGTGTTTGCACATCCGGGCTGTATGTATTACTATTTTGTAAACACAGACAGTTCGTTCATCTATCAGCGCAATAAAGTCCGAATTCGCGTCCGGATCACATACGTACTGAAGGGAACTGAATAGACGGATTGGACGATTAACAATCACCACGATCAATTGGATTATTTGATTAGTTTTCCTTGATCAACTTTCAATTACAACAAGGAAATATAGTGTCTTACCGAAACTGTAGCTTGGCGATTCATCCCGCTATCTCCGCAGAAATCACCGTTTAGGAAATATTGTTTGTGAGCGACCGGCATTTGTTCGTAGTACTTGATACTCTGAAATAGTGTTGCAATATTATAATAGCGGGACAGTGTTTTGTTATCGAACGTGGTATAAAACTTGCTATGTTGGAAGCGACAAGAACGCGCGATAAACGTACGTGATCACGCTGCGTATTGTTTACAAAATTTTACTCCGCGCGTTCTATCTACAGCATGAAATTTTTGTATCGCCGCCATCATTCTGAATGAGAAACAATGAGTAGAAGAGGACGGAGCTTGTTATTGATCATTCCGAAGCAGTTATCATATAAATTTCCACCGATAAATCTAATAATAGCTGAATTTCAGAATAAAATGGATCAAAAACGGTATCTATGAGGTATCAGACTTTTGCTAATGTTTCCAATTAAAGCAGACCTGCGTACATAAGGATATGTCTATAGATTAGAAGTCAACAAAACAATCCAATGAATCATCATATGGGGACAATCACTTAATTGGATAAACAGTGAAGAAAATTTCATCACCATTTTTCAAAGTAGAAAAAAGATGCACGTGCATTATAAAGGAGCACGTAGCAACATAACAACGAGAATAACCTGACAATTTCCCTGTGTTTTGCACGTGAACCTCAGTTTCTCAATTATTAAATCACTTTTGTTGTAAAATCAACTACTCTCGTTTACTATTTGACAAATACTTATTGGTTAAACTTACAACCAATCATGAAGATAAAGATGTTTGTTGCACTTATTAGTGCTGCAGCGGTGACTCTGCTTATTCTCACGGAATCCGGGCTTCTTGGAGTCTCCCAACGCCAAAGTAAATACCGACTCTTCTGTTATGCGATTTTCTTGAATTCCAAGTTTTTGAATTCCAATTTCCCCTCTTTTTAGAGAACAAAAACATCACTCAAAAGATCACCTTTACAAATTCCTGTTGTTTCAGAGGTTGTGTTGATGGAGGAAGATAAATACTTTGAGTTGCTCGATAGAGTGTGCCGAGTACCAGTCGACCCCGAAATGCCACAAACTCACCTGAGCGACAAATGCTTCCTTGAACTGTACCACCTACACCAGAAAGTTGGAATAAGAACTTCGGAACTGTACGAAGAGATTCAGAGATGGGAGCGTAAGTTTTCTTTAAATTTTTCAATCATTATGGAAAAGTATAAAACGATTTTTCACCTGATTTTTGTTCAACAAATGGAAGAATCTAACAACAACAAATAACTAAACGACATGATTATTTACAGGCAAGATGGTTGATTTGGAAGGGGAGGCTACACTGGTAGGACATTCCTACTTTTCAAAACCAATGGCAAACTTTAAAATGTCATATACCTACCGGAGCTACGTTGAACCGGTGCTGCAAGATGCAAATGATATGGCAGCGAAGAATGGAAGAAATGTTGCTGGGAAAGGTTTGGCCCTAGCTGCTGCCCTCCTAATATTCTCCCATATTTTGTGCAGGTAAGCTTTAAAGGCACTTTAACTTGTTTTAAGTTTTTGAACAATTAAAAATCTAAGTAGCAAATACTTAATAAACAAATTTACCCTGTATGTTAAACGTAAGTGTGCTCTAAGAAATTACCTTACAGATTCACGAAACCTGACAGCTACGCATTACCAATGCCAAACTTCTACGAAACGTCCAAGACCCAAAGAGGATGTTCCTTGTTCGTGAAGCTTCGGAACTACTTTCACGGGCCAGATAGTCTGGACTTGCCTTTACCAGGAGCATACAAGAAGCAGGACAAGTTCATCGTGTAAATAACTTGCTGCAATAGACACACCATTACACGTGTTCATGAAAGATATCGGACGAATTTCAGCTCGTCAAAATCTTATATGCTATAGATATTGCAACATGGATTGATGGATTTTCCAGATTGATGAATTAATCAGATTGGTGACTAATCTGATTAATAAATAGATGGTGAAGAAAACTCATATTTCATGTTAAGAGATTACATATTGTAAATATGGGCATTTGTTTTGATTTTGAAATGATCGTGGATCGATAAATTAACAATGTGATCATTAAGTTTTACTATTTGAATTTTGAACAGTCGAAAATTTAATTTTGAATGTTATTAAGTATAATGTTTTAAGGTTTTGAATTTTGATTATTCGATTATTAACATTTGAATTCAATCAGTCAAGTTTTATCAGCTTAATTGATAAGTTGAAAATTTGATAAATTGACGTTATTCAATTTAAAATAATTGAATATAATCTGAGTTCGATTATTCATATTATGTTATACCATTATTATCATAAAACAGAAAATCTCAAAAAAAATAAAAAAGAACCCTAACTCCAAACAAAATCGTTTTATTTTGTATTTTTAATTTAATTTAATTTGATTTAACATAACACAAAAATGGAAAATATGAAGAAATTTCTTTCATTGCAACAATAGGCATTAGGCAGCATGTACCAACACATATTAAGCTGCAGTTATTCTACAGGACCATAACTCAGATCCTACCGATATTTTTCTGAGATAACACTGAATCACCTTTGGCTCACGCTATTTAACAAGTTTTTCAAATATTAAAAGACCTATTAGAGTTTAACCTCATATACTTACAGGGTTACTTAGTTCTTGTGTCCAGTTCATGTCTCTATCATAGCGACCTAATATCGACACTTCCTCGGGTAGGACCCCCTGCATTCTCCTATCTGAGAGGAAACAACATATAAAGCGAAGAAGATATTGAGCGGCAGAGGGAAGTAGGGGGAAGTAGTAGGGGAGAGGGAGAGGGAGAGGGAGAGGGAGAAAGGAGAGGGATAGGGATAGGGATAGGGATAGGGATAGGGATAGGGATAGGGAGAGGGATAGGGAGAGGGAAAGGGAGAGGGAGAGGGAGAGGGAGAGGGAGAAGGAGAGGGAGAGGGAGAGGGAGAGGGAGAGGGAGAGGGAGAGGGAGAGGGAGAGGGAGAGGGAGAGGGAGAGGGAAAAGGAGAGGGAGAGGGAGATCTATCTGAGAGAAAACAACATATAAAGCGAAGAAGATATTGAGCGGCAGAGGGAAGTAGGGGGAAGTAGTAGGGGGAGAGGGAGGGGGAGAGGGATAGGGAGAATGGAGAGGGATAGGGATAGGGAGAGGGATAGGGAAAGGGAGAGGGAGAGGGAGAGGGAGAGGGAGAGGGAGAGGGAGAGGGAGAGGGAGAGGGAGAGGGAGAGGGAGAATGAGAGGGAAAAGGAGCGGGAGAGGGAGAGGGAAAAGGAGAGGGAGAGGGAGAGGGAGAGGGAGAGGGAGAGGGAGAAGGAGAAGGAGAGCGAGAAGGAGAGGGAGAATGAGAGGGAAAAGGAGAGGGAGAGCGAGAGGAAGACGGAGAAGGAGAGGGAGAGCAAGAGGAAGTGGGAGAAGGAGAGGGAGAGGGAGAAGAAGAGGGAGAAGGAGAGGGAGAGGGAGAGGGAGAGGGAGAGGGAGAGGGAGAGGGAGAGGGAGAGGGAGAGGGAGAGGGAGAGGGAGAGGGAGAGGGAGAGGGAGAGGGAGAGGGAGAGGGTTCCTCATCAACTTAAATTTATTTTAGCGGCACAATATTATATCTAGTTAAAGAAAAGCTAACCTGGTTGATGGTACTGTTGGATTATGTTGCCGTAACAAACTCTGTATGTCCACCATCCTTTGGTCTGTAAAAGTGGTGTTTATAAGCTGTGATTTGTTACATTCTTTTGGATGGAAAATATGAATAGCTTATAAGCTTCTAGTTATCAAAAAAGAGAGGGCTTATCAATAGTAATACTGCTGAATATAAAGAGGTTTCAAATTCCCCAAATTATTGAAAGACGAACCCTATGAATACATTGATTAGACATGAATCTGGAAGCGAATGATTTGAAGACATTCTCAAGATCAGTATCTTTATTCTCTTTAGTAGCGACGTTGGGTATGATACAAGAATATTCCTGGTCGTACTTCGACTTCATTATTATATGTTCCAACTCGGGTAACTGTGGGTGTTAAACTATGTGAAATTATAGTCAGTTTTTGATTTCAAAGTGTTGTGTAAAATACTCAACAAAAGTTATCAGAAAGTCCACCGCGGATCTGTATGTATGAATGATACAAGATTTGATCCCGTGAGAGATATTGGAAATCAACAAGAATATAATGCGGGTCAGTAACCTGGGATCTGAGAACTGGGTGAGCGTTTATCTCGATACCATACTTCAAATGTTCTATCTCCTCAATGTTGTAAACAAACGATAACGCCCCGTAGTACATCAGGGGAAGCAGCCATTTTAAGACCATCCTTAAAATTTAAAAAATGAGATTTCGACATATAAGAACGAGTGATGAGTTACAACTTTATTCAAATGCGCCAATTTTATCATTCATGTTCGGTTCAGAATCAAGTTCAAAATATCACTTCTGGTCTTCAAGTGTCTTAATAACATAGCTGCTCAGTACTTATAAGGACACATCAAACTAGAGAACTGCATTTATGTTTTGTGGACCAAAAATTTGGAATGGACTACCCTACTCAGTGAGATCATTATCATCTGTAGAATGTTTTTAAAATGCCCTAAAGACGTTTTATTTCCACCTAGCGTTTGATAATTTTCCTAATATTTGTCTATAATGTCTAAGCTGATATGAAAGTGCATAATTTTGGTAACTTAATACAAATATTTGTCCACTAATTCTGAACTGATAAAAAGTCCATAATCTTGACATGATATTTCATCACTAAGTCTCGATTGAATGACTTAAATGTACATCTTTGCTGGGTTTATTTTAATGTCGAAGCGTGTAATAAATGTTAGAAGTTATTTTTTATTCATTACAGATTTTATTCTCATGCAATTAGCAAACCACTCATCGACTGTAAGTGTATGGAATCACTTGGGAGTTAACTGCATTGAACTTTAAGTAATGAAACTGCACATTGTACAAATGGAAATGTATAATAGTGTATACGAATTGTATGAAGGAGCAGAAATTATCTAAGTCTCAATCCTAGGAGTTGGAACCCAAACTTCCAGCCTATATCAAAAATGTCTACTCGTTATAATTATAAAGATGCAATTTCACCTTAAAAGTAACACAAAATAAGTTAACTTTACTCTCAACATCAGCACATGTTCACAAATCATTCAAACTATAATCAGCACCAAATCTCAAAACCGATAGTCATCATTCCATTTGTCAGGAGTAAAATTCCTCCTCATACACCAAACATAGTCATTAGTTCGCGCGTCAGCCTTTTCCTCGCTCATTCTCCGTTTGTAGATATCTTCAAACTCTGGATCAGACCTGCACAGCTCCTTAGTCATGTTCTGGTGGTAGGAGTCATTACCAAGCTGGATCAGTCTGAATATCAGCTTTTCTTTGTCCCATCGGCTGTAGTTAGGGTATCTCCACTGAGAGGGTATCATGTGTTGATTGGGTGTTGTTAGGGGGTTGTTAGGGTATGTGTTGAGAGGGTATATTGTGTTGTTATGATCAGTCTTGTTTGTGAAAGAAAATAAGTGCTCAATAGTTTTGAAGACTCAGAGGGTATTGGAAAAATAGATCATTTCAACATTTTACCATCGTATGATATTTATTACGCCAATAAAGGAGAAAACAAGTTCAAAGTGACCCAAAATTAACTTCATATACATTTATCAGTCCAAAAAGTCAGACGTTTATTGATATTTATAGTGCCTAATGCTACCTTTTACTAGGAACTAGCAATTACTCACAAATTTAATTCCAGAGATGTTGCCCTTTATGGCTAGGTCTCTGAATATCTTTCTGTTTATCTTGTAATCGTTCACACAGCCCAGTAAATGACCAGTAAGAGCGCATCTGAGGAAAAGTTTGTTATTTCCCCAGGCATCATTAAAATAATACCATGTAAAGCAGGTAAACAAAATAGGAATTTTCCATCACAATTTAAAGCACATCACATGACAGCTACGGGTGAGTGAAATGAAACTGAAAATATGCATACTTATCAGTTTCAGTGTTTTTGTGACTATATTTAGGAAGTTGTTTGATATCAGCGGCTGCTTGTGCTTTTATCTTCGATGGTAATAGATCAGACTCTGATATTGTCTCTAGCCTGAAAACGTTGACATTGTCAGTTCAGACGACTGAAGAGGGTGAAATACACGAAAAAGTGTCCCGAAACGATTTAAACATTTTCACAAAACCTGCACTGAATTTTAATCATCTCAACAAAGTTTTGAAAAATTCGTAACCTACTGTAATCGATCGTAAAAGTGCATTCTCTTCATCTGCCGCAGGTAATTATTTCCGATAGTCTTTTTAACAGCTCTATGAGAAAACCGAACTGAGTTAATGTTCGGACATAAAGAGGGAACTTTGGTGACACAGTTTGTAAACATCCTTGGAAGACACTTTTATCAGGTGAGTCGTTTAAATCTTAAAATATATAAAGTTTGAAGACAAATTTAGGAGGTGAAATACGTGAAAGGTCATGAATCAGATCTATTAGGCGATTTAAGAGCTTTCACGCATATAAGTATGCAATTTATCTAAGAAAATGAATTAAAAGTTATCACTTAATTCACCCCCGATCCCGGTAGCCCCTACCTTTAGTAAAGGTACTTCAGGAGCAAACATGCTGTTTAATATGATCATGCAGAACAGAAACATCAATTTTATTCAATTTGCTGCTAGTTACATAGCTAGTTATGAAAAACAACTCAATAAGCATGAAAAAGGGTAATTGTCTAAGTATCTATGGTGAACAATTGGTGAAAGTTAAACAACCAATAATGAATATATTAAGACTATAAATTTCACAAAAAAACCATATGTCAAACAAATAATACTTATTTAATATTATAACAAGCATCAAATTTATCTTTATATCTGAAAAAGAACAAATAAAATAAAAAAGCAATTTCATCGAACCAAAGTATCTGAACTGTAAGGAAATTCCAAATCAAAAACAGCCTGTAAAAAGAATTATTGCCCAGATTCTGTACTAACGAAAAATTATCTGGCATACTTTTGTTCGATGTTGAACGATAAAACACTTATTTAGAAAGTACATAATATAGTGAAAGAAACACGTGCAATAAGGTGCAATACAAAATTTGCGACAAAATATATCTTATAAACGTATCTGAAATTTGACAATAATACGAAACAAAATAAGCGTTTGGTATTCAAATAAATCGGTCCAGTACTGCCAACAGAAGCTCATATTTACAATTATTTATGATCGTTGCTATTATTTCCGCAGATGCTTACTGATCAACGCGTTGATCAGTAAGCATCTGCGGAAATAGTTACTGGCAAAGTTATAATAATTCAATTTCCTTGAAACCTAAAACAGGATCACTTGATAGCTAACCCAGTTTTTCTGATTTTATTTCGTTATTAGCATCTGCAATAACTTTACCATTCCTATTCTTCTGAGCACCATTCTCTGTCTTCACATCAACAGCCTTACTATCACCACCAAGATCTACATCAGGGCAAACTTTAATCCTTTTAACTTTATATTTTACAATAGGAGGAGGATCAGGACGATAACCCTCTTTAATAACTTTCAGTTCAGTTGAGCTTGGCATATTTATTATCTCCTCTTTCACTTTGATCCCCAATTTAGAGCTTAACATTCTGAAAACTTCGTCACATTTTGCATGTATAACAAGATCAGCGTGTTGGTCCATTCGTGTCTTTTGTAAATTAACAATCATGATTTCTCCTCCATAGCGCTTGGTTTTGAATGGCATATTACCTGGATGTATTCGAATTAAGACTGATAACATTCATGAACGTTCATTCGATTGAAAAACTTTGGAAATTTTATTGATAATAAATGATAATCTAGAACAACGAAAAATAATGAAGAACACGTTGCATTTTTGGGGATACAATAAGATCGGATAACAGTCTGCCACCCCTTCTAATTGTTATTGATTGATCAGGATTTCTATAACAGTAAATATTTATCATGCGAGAAGAAAAATCCCGGAGAGGGCACCATTGGTTTTGGTAGGCTGCAAATTATTATTTTTTAAATTTCAGTACAATACGAACACTAACCAACTGGTTGGATCTGCATGGAGGTTCCTAAAATGAGACACAAGTCTGCAGTAGAACATTGGTATTCACTTTCATATAACTCGTCCCAGGGCAGGCTATCTTCCCAATCCAAAACACTGTCTACAAGTTTCCCTCTGGGTTTTAGTGGTATTTAATCATCATCAAGTCAACTGGCATTTTGTGAATAATGAAAATAACAAACAGCAGTTGAGAAGCAAGTTGCTGCTTTCACAGTTCACACACTAAACAGTAAGATAAAAACTGTTTAAAATTTGTCATTCAGACCAGATTTACAAAGATAAATAATATTGTATATTTATGTGTTAGCAACAGCTTTCACATTAAAAACTTATGTTCAATCTGTATTACGTTGTTTTACTAAATGTGATTGCCACAATGCCCCCCCCCCCCACCCAATTCAGCACATATCTCACCTACAAGGTCTACTATTAGCCTTCAGGGTAGTGCACAATCTTCCTGTTTTCTTCAGACCTATTGTTTTTGTCGGAGTACCTCGTAAGTATTCTCTGCCACAGGTCATACATCTCTCTGTAAAAATGTTTCCATGTACTTCTGATAGATGTTCTCTCGGAAAACCTGAAATAAAGACATGATAAAAGGTATTGGAGGCGCGGCGTTTAATTCTGTTACAGAGAGTTTGATAAACAAGGAAAGTGCACAGTTTGATTCTCCACGTTTATTTTAAATAATAATCAAGTGACAGTTCAGTTTACTAAAAAAGTGCAGAACTTATCATAATTTAAAGATCAAATACCTGATTTTAGATGGAGATTGTCAACATTCTGACTAACGACATAACAACTTTTCCCACTGTTTAGAATTGCATTTATAGCAAAATGAGTGTATGATGGTCTGGCAAGTTCAAAATCAATATTTATAGTTGGCTGAAGACCCTTTTCTTCCATAGTCCAGACCCCGTTAGGACCTCTGAAATCTGGAATCCCTGATGAAGTACTAATGCCAGCACCAGTAATAAAAACAATATTTTGAGCCTTTTCAATAGCTCCAGCCAGGATCAATACTTTTTCTATGACCTTTTCAGTTGTTTCAATCAGTTCCTCGTCACCAAGCTCGCCCTTGTCAGGATACTTTGATAGGGATGCAGCATAATTCAAGGACATAGCAAGCTACAATTAATAAAATATTATAGAATTTATTTGCAAATAATTTTAATAATGAATAATACACCAGTTTCAAATCCAGTATGAACTCTATAATATCACCTAAGCAATATCATTGATATCATAGTATAGTTTAGTATAGACTATTATAGTATAACACTAAATAGTGAATAAAACAAGGAGAGTTTTTAAGTAGTACTATGTTTATAGTAAACTAGATTATAATGAATAAAATGCACAGCAGAGAACGACAGCTTTACCTTCAATGAGGAGTAAGGACAACACCAGGAATTTCTTATAAACTTGTTGGTATTGAAGAAAAACAAAACAAGTTGTTTTGGCACTGTTATAAATTTGTTTGAGTATTCGCACTTTTGAATAAATTCTCAAAATTCTCAAAATTAAAATGCCTATAACTTCAAAAGCATCCATGATCTTAAAATAATTTATAGTCAAGTGTTATTTATAGGATCAGCTTGACGAGACAAAACTTTTAGTTATGACATTTGAAGAAATATACGTATATATTTAGCATTTAAGGGTCGTTCACATATTACGTAATCAGCCGAGGGGGGGGGGGGGGGGGGGGTTCAAATGCTTACTGTTGATTACGGGGGGGGGGGGGGGGGGGTGGTTTGGTCGTTGATTACGTAATCAAAATTTTAATTTTTTACCGATTTTCGAAATACCAATTGAGCAATTGGACAATTTTCGTTAATTATGTAATCAAAATTTTCGTTTTTTAAACCAATTTTCGTTTAGTAAGTGCTTTGCGATTATTTCATTCATTAATCCGTTGTGATAGCTTTTAATAAAAAAAAATGGCTTAACATGAACATGTAATAGATAGTAATAAAATTAATGATTACGTAATATAGGAGGGGGGTTGGGTCTTGATTACGGGGGGGGGGGGGGGGGGGGGGTGGGGGGGTCAAACCTTGATTACGTATATATATATATATATAGCTATATAGGGGGGGGGGGGGGTTCGGTCTTGATTACGGTTGATTACGGTGGGGGGGGGGGGGGGGTAAAAATTGCCAAAATATTGATTACGTAATATGTGAACGACCCCTTACCTCAAAAAGTCAAGATGACTCGAGGACAATAGCCCTGTATCTGGAGAAGAATAGCCCCACATATGACAAACCTTACTCGGGATTATTACGACGGGTTTATTAACGACCGGTTAAAATATGGTTCGGGAAAAATATGGCGAAATTGCTCAAAACCCACCACATTTTCCCGGTCGCCATTTTACCGGTGTCCAACCTTTCAATTTTAGATTCAAAAATTTTGTCTCAGATGTAAATTTCCTTATTAGAGATAAGCAAGTTTAGAAATTTTCGCATTGCTAAAACTTGTGAAACAGGTCGAATTATCAATAATTGTTGAAAGTAGACAGAAATAATGACTCAATGATAGTCAATACCTAAGAAATTCAAAATTGGCCTATTTAAATCAACTTTGACAATAAGGATATATGACAAGAATTGGGCAAAAAGGTGAATTTTTTGCAATTTTAGCCAAATGAAGTCGAAAAACCTACAACAAGTGTCCCAATAGTCTTCTTTAGTGAATATAAGACAACGATTAAAATATGAGCACCCATACCCCTTGGGAACCCTAAAAGCTGAGTAGGCGGGTTTATTAACGACCGGTGAAAATGTGGTTCGGGAAAAATATGGCGAAATTACCCTAAACCCACCACTTTATCCCGGTCATAATAATCCCGAGTAAGGTACATAGCATAAATACTACTATACTACAAAAAAAGCTCGATAATAATTTACAATATTCTAGGAGATGAATAGTAGGACATTGCACTGGAGGATAGAGATATAACACTAAAAATAAAGATATAACACTACAGGTGTTATATCCACAACAACAGGTGTTATTTCCCACTACAACAGAGCAACAGATATATTGTACAGGGGGGGGGGGGGGGGGGCAAAAGTCAGTACCCATACGTTGGCCTAAATAGCTCATCATTGATTACCTAATCAATTTTGCTAGATAATTAAATTGCTTGATAACTTCGTCATTTTTTATCCGTTTCACACCATCTTTTTCAGATTATGTTCCAGATTAAATGACCTATTTATAATTGCAATATGTTACAACGGAGTCTCTAACATTTTCACAAACACGAGTTTAAGCGATTCAATGTTGACTGGGTGTGGCCCCAAAAATCGAATTTTCAAGTTTTAGTGACGGAATCCTCGAAAAAGTATGTACAGTGCAGTATGCCATCTGCAAAGCAACAACTCTCAAATATAAAACACAGAAGTGGTATAAGACCCAACGTGTGTCATATGTGTACTGACCTTTACCCCCCCTCCCCTGTAACCTCTATATTCTATAATGTATACAAGAAACATGAACTAACATTGAAAACGCATTTTTTGGAAACTTTGAAAATCATTGTTGCAGATCGTAAGAATATCGATACAAGAACTCTATCGGGCTCTAGTCGCAGATTAAGGGACGACTCTGTTACCCTATCAAACAGCAGTGTTCTTGATTCGTTGCTGCGTGGGAGTCTGAGAAAGTTTTTCAATTCCTTCTTCTCCAATTATTGGCTCTTCTCCAATTATTGGCTCTTCTCCAATTATTGGCTCTTCTCCAATTATTGGCTCTTCTCCAATTATTGGCTCTTCTCCAATTATTGGCTCTTTTCCAATTATTGGCTCTTCTCCAATTATTGGCTCTGCTGTTTTAATGTCACCTAACTCAAAGTCAACAGTTTTGGTAGTGGTTGAGATTCTCCATATTTTTGTTAATGATCGTACAAAACTCAAAATTACTCTTCTTAATGTCCCTGTTAGCGTTTGGTAAAATTGTTTTCTGGTAATAAAGCTTATAACTCTCTGGAAAGGGGTGATGAGCAGGATGACCAAAGTGTTGTCATAAATCAAAGGATTAATGACTGAGTTGATCGGAAGGATGATGACGGAGACTATGCTATACCAAGGAGTTGCATCCAACACTTCAAGGGAGTGTAGCACACAGATCACTATAAAGGGGATCCAACAAAAGAAATCAGTTGTGATTATAATGGAGATTTTTCGGTTCATTTTTGTATAACGTTGGGAATTTTGCTCATAGGTGTCAGCCTGTGCTACAATAACAGATGATTTCTGAGAAATGCAGCCAATCGCCATATACGAAACTGTAATCAATATGAAGCACACAAAGTTCAAAGCAAGGATGGTCCACACGAAAATTCTTTGTGGGTCATCGTTTTTTACAAAATATTTAAACAAGCAGACCCCATCGTTTCCATAGAAATCAACCCTCAGAATCTTTGTCGTGTGGTCTGGGTATTCAAAATCGTGAGAATACATTTCATTGACCATTTTATAAATCATTTTCCAACTCAATTCAGTGTCCAACATTCTTCCGTAGTACGATTCAAGCACTGCTGAAATTTTCTGCTTGTTTGGCGTGCCTATAAATACTTTTAGATCTTTTGCAAAGTTTACACCGTTGACAAAGAAGTCCTGAAATTTTCCAAGAATCGGAATGACAGCGATGCTCAGTGATGATGCGATCAAGATTATCAAACTCACTACGAATTGCAACGAAAATAACCAAGTCACTTTTCCCGGAATTCTCATAGAATGGTATATTCCATAGATTCGAGTAAGGCTCAGACCACACATGGCAAATAGTGAGAGTTGAGACCCTACGGTGCTAAGAACACCGATTTTTGAGCAGTCGATGCTTGTAATCCAATTGATTTGTTTGGGGCAATAATCTTCTCCAAAGATGATCCCGTCATAGATTGCGATTATGAATAGGTAACAACCGACAAACAAGTCTCCGACCGATATTGCAATGACAAGCGATTTATTTATGAAAGCAACTGTTGTCTTGCATCTAGTTAAGGTTGGCGCACTTTTCAAAATAATGATAAGGTTAGCTACGATAGCTATAACTCCTACTAACCACGAAATAACGTTTAAAACTGAACCCTCTAGAATATTTCTTGAACAATCGACATTGCATTCATCAGATAAGTCCAAACAATCAAATAATCCATCACACTTACTGGTTTTGGGTATGTAATGTCCTGTTGCGTTGCATTTAAAATGGTTAGTACAGGATTCCTCGTCTGAACCATCTCCACAATCATCCACAAGATTACAAACTTTCGAGTAATCAATACACTTGATCTTGTTGTCACAAACAAAATATCTGTTTGTGTAGAAATTTCCGAATGATTTTGTGAAAAATGCTAGATATTTATTGTTAGCTACAGTTCCGATCCTATTTGGGTATTGTTCAGGACACACCTCGTATCTAGGAATGTTTTTCAATGGACAAGGAGAGCTGATACAATTGTGAGTACAACTGGTGTACACGTACAGCTCTCCAAACATGTGGTCACAACTTTGAAGTTCTGCCGGTAGGATGACTGAAGTTCTATCTGCTACTCCAAAAAAACGGTGATTTGGGAAGATGAATTTTGGAAACGTTGTGCAGTCCTTAAGATGTACGTTGTTTTTTAATCCTTTTAGGCAAAACGAGAGACGTTTACTCAAACCGTTATCGCTTGTCAAAACAGTTGTGGAAATTCTTAGATTACTTCGGGCCTCAGAGCAGACTTTATTCTCATTTCCACAGGTTTCAAGTCCATCACAAAGATCTCTTAGTTCCACAAAACTGGGTTCACTCCATGGACAGAGAAGGACATTTTGACAGTTTTCTTCAACTTTGACAAATCTCGATGATATATCTTTTCCACAAGTGGGCCAGATGGTCTCCTCATCTCTACCATCGATACAGTCCAACACTCCATCTTCTAACCAAGAGAGTGGTATTGCCAATTCCTCTGCTCGTCCAACACGCCTTTTACATTTTTGTTGAGTTTGTTGGTCACAGCTAAAATGTGTTTCATCTTCTTTATTGTCACAGTCTACTCTTCCGTCACACATCAGATGTTTGTGCACATGGCAATAAAATGATGGCTCCAAACAGATGTTTTCAATGTTATCATCGCATATTTT